CTTATGATGCGTCTTGTAGGCCTTTGGTTGAAAGTAAACTTGAACAGTTTCGTGTTCGCCGTTCGTTGGCGTTTGACATCCGGTCCAACGCGCGACTCGCGACCAGAACGTACGCAAAACATACATTGAACAATCACAATCATTCCATCAGCTCCTCTTTCACAGGGTTGTGAGCAATATTCAGCCACATGCTTCTGTTGAAATGGCATCTGACGACTCATCGGTGACGCATCACGGCAACAATGCTTTCGCTAGGGCCAGATGGGGCTCTCTGCGGCAACCCACAAGTCTGCGAACCAGTGAGCAGCTGTTGCCAGCAACACGATCTACGATTCTACAGTATTCGATGTGTTAACCCAAGCTTTTATAATTTTGGCATATTGGTTGTGTTAAATATGGCAAACATGGCACCTATTTTTAAAATGCCAGATTTTAGGAGGTCTATTGTATAGTCAACACTCATAACAACATCAAATTTAAAAATCTTCATGACTTTTATCTTATTATTGTCATTATTATTATTGTAAAAAAAACACAGCATGAGTTCTATACTTCGGCATCTTCATTTTAAGAACACATTGTTTATCACATTTACGTTGTAAAATTTAAAGCGATTGCAAACATCTGAATTTAGCTAAATTCAGAGTGCTCATCTCTTTTTCACTTCATCATGCTCATCAATCTCTTTCATGAGAAAGATATGAGCATGTCATCTTTTTTTTCTACTCATGTTCACAACATTGAAATACAAGATTGATTTTTATCTTGACGATTTTACAAAAGATTTTATCTAGGAGTAAATTGAAACATTTTTCAAGAAATAGTTGTAATACAACTGCCCAAGGTTTGACATTATTTAACTTACTCTCAAACATTAAACTCTCCATACATCCATGAACATGACTTTCTATTGCAAACTCATCATTAGGATTGTCAACGATCACACATATATGCAATTTTCTTTTCTCCAACATATTGCTGCTCCTCTTAGCAGGTTTCAACTTCCTCCCAAACATGAAGCTCTAAATACATCCATGTACTTGAGTATCCATTCGTCTCATACTCATCAGGATTGCTAACGATAACAATCATGTGCGATTTACTTGTCTTGTATATGTTGTTGCTACTTTATGAAGGAGTGTCTATGATAACAATCAGATGCAAATTACTTCCTTCCAACATGTTGCTGTTACTCTTGACTTAGATGGTGAAAATGATTTTTTCCTCAATTGTAGATTTGACATGCCTCATCAAGAAAAATGTTCCTTTTTTGAAAGTAAATTTCAATTCAAAGTCCATTAAATGTGTTTAACATCTCAACTTCTTGCTAGATTATGCTAATAGGCGACATATCTCTCCGTGTTAAAAGACTTATGATGAACTTATAATTTCTTTGACATTTTTTGTTTGCAAAATGTTGGTTTAGTTTCAAATAGACTATATTGAGATCACAAAAATCAAATAAGATAGATCTTTATTTTCATTACTAAGTTGAAGTTATTTCAACTTTGCTCTCATTTGCTTATCTCAACATTCAATCATGTTGTTTTTAACAAATTAATCTAATTCTAATATCAATTGTTGTATGATTTCATAGGATTCCAGAAATTTTGATGAGTTGTATATACTAACATTTTAATCATCTTCACTAACTAGGATCAAGTTAATATGACTAATGAGAAAAACCCGAGTCAAATTATAAGAATATTTGATTTTTATTTTGAAATTAAATCAAATATATGATAATTTTTAATATATTTTTCTTGAATAATTTCAATATAAAATATTAATAAAGTGATTTTCTATATAAATCAAAGCAATATCAATTGAATAAAATTTTGATCATTAGATTTGATGTTAATAAAAAATGAAGGTTTTATTACAGCATAGCAATACGTATTAACACTGATCAATTCTTTTATAAAAAAAAATTCATTATTTTTTATTGCATGTTGATTGAAATATATTGAAAAATGTATAATTTTTTTTAAGAATTATAACTCTTTGTTCAACATTGCAAGAAAAGATTGACAGATTAACAAACTTGTGTTTCATTTCATTTCAACAAATTTTCATGAAGCTCAAAAGTATGGATTTTTAGTTAAAAAAAATTAACACCTCATGACAATGTTAAGATTTAAAGTTTTCTTTAAACAAATTGAGGTTTTTTTAATTTTTTTTTATCAAAAGTAATCATTTTTGTCAAAAAAGAAAAGACTAATATCAAACAACTCTTCAGATACTAAATTTGATAAAAATCCTCTATATTTGCTTCTCCATTGCATATCATTTTCATTTTCAGGAATTAAAAATTTACTCAGAAAGATGATTATATATGTATAGATAAGAGTATGTTAATGTTACAACAAAAAAAGAAAGCTACTATATGATAAAATTCTAGAAAATTCACGTAAATTCAAGTTTGAATGAATGAAAGATATATGTATATGAGTTAAAAAAAGTACAAATTTAGGACCTCCATCAATTTGTAAGGGGAAATAAAAGATATCAAGTTTGTCCCTGTAGTCTGGAAACGACAATTACAAAAGTCTTCACGACACGTGTACATGCATGTATTTGCTCCTACATGCATGTAGTAGCACATACAACAATATTGCATTAAGGTTGTTTTGTACATTCTATTAGAGTGAATAGGGTCAGTAAGAGACCTATTTATCAAAGACATACATTAATCAATTCCATCCTTAGTGTTTTTTGGAATTCATTGATAAATTCATTATCGAAGCATTAGAAACGATCAGCTTAGTAATCAAAATAAATCCATAGCTAGTTTGTGTAAAATTTGCGTGAATAATCGTTTGATAATCACAAACTCAGACTTTTCAAAGAAGCATGGGAACTCCCATATTTGAATATAGTATTTCCAAGACTAACCTCTTGTAATCGGAAAGAAGGTGCCATTAATCAGGTACTTCTCCCGCCGACTCGCGGAATTGGAAGCGGCGGGCATCCCGCAGTGGACACAAGAGGCGACATGAGACGGAACGGATCGGTCCTCGAGCTGTGCAGCTTCTTGACCCATTCCGCCGCGAAGGTCTCTGAAAATATGATCTGACCTGAGATCCGAAAATCAAGACAGGGCCATGGTCTGAGTCGACGGACCGTTTCTTGAAGCTCGTCCACTTTGCGTTCACGAGACAAAGGTCACGTCACGTTTGCTATCTTGCGAATTTACGAAACGCTGGTGCCACGACCACGGGCATCCAGAATACGAAGCCGCGAATGCCCATCCTGGTCTGCATCTTGGGACTTGCATTAGAAGAGGATCCAAGTTCCTCGGGGAAGGACTCGAGCATACTCACTACCTGAATCAATGCCCTAATCACTGTTGTTGGTATGGTCGTCAGAGAATTGACCAAGGATTCAAGCTTAGTGCAGGCAAAAGATCTAGCCTTGGCTCCGGTCACGCTGGTGACACTTAACTTACACCAAGCTGCAATATGTGGACGGCATCAGAAGATCTTTGTATCCACGTGATGATTCTCAGAGGGTGCTCAGCTTGTTGCACAGTCCGCCTGAACAGCGCGAGGCCATGCGTCTCATATCCTTTCAATCTCGGCTTGTGACCGGCAGCTGGAAGATGTATGTTAACCGAGTTATTGCAGCAGACTTTTCAGCTTTTGTGGATATTTCAGTTATTACGCTCGGCCCAGCGCGAATACGTGTAGATGACATTCGTTGTTGATGGATAATTACAGATTAGGCAAAGATACTTGGAGATGAGGAGTTATTTTCTGAAGAAGACGGGGTAATAAAGTGAAGGCACTGTTATTATGAGAATTTTTATAATCTGCACTACGAAATGTAAAAATCAAATATTTTGTAATCATCTGTTCTTTTATTATACATCAAGCTGTTCTGTGATTCTACACACTCGATTATTAAAGCCTCGATCAACAATTTGTTGATCATTTCTTTTCAGATGTATTCCATCGAATTATCGGCATTCCACGGATGGAGATTGGATTTTGAATACTGAAACTCCAAGAAAGGAAGGCAGAGCCATCTCGTCAGGACACACTGATCACACGAAGGATCACAACTATTGTCTGTGGATGTGTGTTCTACGTCAGGAGCATATAGCCACACGGCATTGTCCTCTCCGTCCCGGCCTCTGTTCTCTTCCCCGAAGAGATTTCAGGTTGAAAAGCCGCTTCTGGATTCCATCTTTAAAACGAACACCGGCCGCTAAAAGACAGCTTCGGGATTTTGTCTCTGTTCTTGCTCAATTGACTCCCATAAAAGCCACCCTAACCGTATCACTCCAGGCGGAAGGCATACCAACCATCACAGTTACAATCCAAGACGAGGATTACGAGAGGGACTAGGTTTCCTGTCCAAGACGAGGCCGGTGGATCGTTCAAATTTTGCTTCAATTGATGTTATCCGAAATTTACGAACATTTCGCTTGATTGACACGTTAGAACGACAGAACGAGGTTCGGTTTCAAGTTTACTTGGCTCCCGTCACCCAATCGCCATCATGATCACTCCATCGGTAACTGAGAGCAAGGCTGACATCGAGATTTTAGACAGCCCGAGGAGAAATAGGAAACCAAGCAAAATTCAAAACACAACTTTGTTCCAAAAAAAAATCCAAATCGTGCGCAATCCGATCGGGCCATCGCCAGGAGAGTGCGCTCCAAGAAATACGAGACAAAAACGACACAGCCCGGCGACCTCGTCTTGAGCGCGAAACTCTATTCCCTCGTCTTGGACGGTAACGGTGACAGCCGAAATGAAATCGTGTCTTATATTGCAGAGGAGGATCACTTGTCTCATTAATCGTCGGCAGCGATGCACGCATCAAGAAAGTCCACTGACCTCCCAACTTGTGATTCTGCCAACATCTCCGTAGCTGGGAAACGATCTCACTTCAAAATGTGTCGCCTGAAGAGTGTCATAGCATGCTGTATCAAATGTTCGGGAGGGCATGTTTGCTTTCGACATATGGATTCACTAAACTGAAGCAAAACTGCAAATAGACCATACAAAAACAGGTGCGAGAACGATACGAGGAACAGACTCATGTAAACACTAAAAGCATAGATGCTAGAGATGAACGACGAAACCGTACATTACCACCAAGAGAATCTCCTTCACGTTTGTGGGCCGGAGTGATGGCTACTTTCATGTATAACTGACGTACGAACATTTCCGTGAAAAAGGAACGCTTTGGGCCTTGGCCTTTGCCTTTATCGCCTCGCTCCAGACAAAAGTTTTACAACCAGTCTAGCACGCGGACCGACAACTTCTGGAGGTCTGAATCACATGGTTGACAAAGATTTGAAGACTCGTGGGCCCCACTGGAGCTAGTGAATCAGCAAGGCCATGTTTCATGAAGGTGTAAGAGAAAGGCCATCTGGCTAAAAGTCGACAATACTTTTGCACGAAGCATGCAATTTACCTCCCTTACGGATCCCATGATATGGTGAAGGTGTGCAGGGCATAAGCCTGTCGCAAGAGGGCAGAAGTGACTGTGTGATCTGCTTGCCCGAAAGCCTGAGAGCTGCTGTACACAAGTAAGGTGCGCTGATCCGGGTTGTGGTCTATTCTCCCACCCCCTAACTGCGATACCTGTAATTTGATACGAACAGTTACAATCGATGGACACGTCTCGGAAGCTAAGCCGCAGTTAAAGAACACGCTCGAGCAACTAGCCCTTGTTACTTAGACTTCTAGCAAATCAACGTGCCATACGTGCTCAAAGTGACATGAAGTTACCTGCAAATTAAGTCCGAGCTCTTTCAAACTCTTCCTCGTTTGTTCAAAAATATCAGAATGATAAGGTAGTGCTTTTCGTCCTCTGACCAACTGCAGACATATACACAAATAAAAACCGTGCCATGTCATCGCTAAAAAAGGTAAATTGCAGTGAAAGGAGAAACGCTCTCACCGCTGGATCTGTACGATGCAGGTCTTGATGACATTGACACATCTTCTTCGAGAATACACAAGGAACAGTATAAATCTAAACTTGAGCCGCTAAAATTTGTTTCTTTCAATACTGCAATGTATAATGCTGCAGATACTGTTATAACATTGATTCCGTGGTATCAAATTGCAGTCGACCAAACGTGGAGACGCATAGTTTGAACTCATACATTTTCTATCTACAAGGCTCAATTGCACCTACCAGTTTCTGATGTCCTTGATCATCCTCAATGTTGATGAGGACATACTTGAATGTACCTGTCCAGAACAGTAGAGGGATTTCCAGTTTCAAAACGTTTGAGTGAAATGGCCATTCAAAGATATCCCCGCCAGCTTCAAGGCTAACATAAAATTGCAAGCGGACGGGTGACAGAAAACAGGGAAAATAAATCCAGCGATTATCAATCTTGTGTATGATATTGATGAGTGCATGAGGTATGACAGTCACAATACTCACCCTCATCGATGTCAACCGTTGGCACCTCACTCCCAGCCCATTGCACATCACGCGCATTCTCAGCTTTGACCCAGCTTTGCATCAGACGGTTTGCGATCGCATAGTTTCCGGGCACGTTGAAAACCTGGCCATGGGGTAAAGGCTCCCCAAGTAGAACAGCATTCAGGAAAGTTCGATGGATCCATTTCGCATCCTGCATAATTGGTGACTACATCAGTTATTGACACTCTTCCTCTAGATCCAAAGAGAATGTTAGATTCCACAAAACATGACGGCCCTTCTAGTAACACACATATGCACATGAAAAGAAGACTAATGTCAACAGATATATACAACATAGACTGGCTTCTCCTGGCTTCAGCATATGTACAAGGGTACTCTTGACGCTACCCCAGGATGTACGAGTAGTGGAGAATTCAGTTGCAGATGCTATGGAAAAGAAAGTCTTGAGGATCCGAAACAGTGTTGTAGACATGATAAGAACTGGCATAGTAAATACCTCCAACTCATGTACATCTACAGCTGGTCTCGGCAAAGCATTAACTTCATCAACCTCCGGCACCCTCTCGATCCCCACTGGGACAGCGTCACCATGAGCTTCAAGGCCGTTGTAAGGTTCACACTTGTTCTTCACTGCAGCGCAATGGAATCCAACCATAAGGGACGACGGGAACGGCCACGGCTGGCTGGATTCATATCTGCACCAATATTCCACTGTAACATTCATCCCTGAGAACTCTTTCAAAGCGTCACTTTCCAATATCAAACATGTAAAAGCGAGGCAAACATCCAAAGAAGATTGAGGCTGAAAAGCTATCACGCAATACCTCACGCTGTCCGATTCCACAGTCACTCCTGCTTCTTCTTTAGTTTCTCTCGCTACCGCCATTTCAAAGGTTTCACCGATCTCCACAAAGCCTGCTAGTAATGAATATCGACCGAGGTCCCATCTAGCCTGTAAATGAAAACGAGCTGGTCATCTACAATAAGTACATAGAATATCTTTTAGATCTCTGGCAAGGTGCAATGACAGCTTCACTACAAGCAACAGTTGTAAGGAAAAGAATGCCACCTTTATTACATAACCCTTTCTTAAGAAACAAGGCAATTCGTAATGTCAATCCTTTGACTAGCTTTCTGATAGTCTTTCAATTTGATCAAATAGCACTTTCAGCCAACAGAGATACTAAGTACATCGGTGAGATAATAGATCATTCACCTGTCGACCTAGAAGTATATAGTTCCCACATGTGACGAGCATTATAACTGCAGGGTCCTGAAGCACAATACATCTCGTTACAAAACAAAACAAACACTGGCACTCTTCCGCACCGACAATATAACCTAAACACATAATTTTTCTTTTTAAGCTGGTCATTTTCAACATACATGAACGAGGGTTGTGAACACCGAGATGCAGAGTAGGATATAATGAGAAAGAAAGAGCAATTTCCTGACTCCAAAGTTGAGCAAGAGACTAATATGTGCATCATATACATGGGGCTATTCCGCAAAAACTTGAAACAAAGAGTTCCTACCATTCGTGGGTAGGATAACCTTCCACAACTGTCCGAATTAGTGCACTTCAATGAATGACCAGCCTCACTCATTTCCATTTTCGACCCGCATCGTCCACAATGTTGCTGCATGCAGATATGCATCTGGTAAAATTACTTCTATGAACAGATAACGGACAATTTACAGAACCTTTTGAACTCTACCACATAACTTAAAAACCGAAGAAGATACGACTTTCCTACTCATAAAGTTCTTTTGTACCGAGCAATCCGTAAACCCTTCTTCCTTACAGATTGCAGCAAATAAACGTCTTCAAAGTACTCACGTGTCGGCTGTGCCACTCAATCATTCCTCGTGCATAAGCCAGAAGACCTGCCTCATACGCACTAAGACTTGGGCCATATTTTTTCACATCCACCCACTCCGCTCCTTTATCCAGTGCCTCCTTTACCTCGTCTGTACTGTTACACATTTATATAATTGAGGAGCTTATTACCATCTCGATATCAATGGTCACTTTCTAGTGTACCCACTTTCTTGCACATAAGAAAGTAGTTCTATCACAAAGCAGCGTCTCAAGTTTCAGGAAGATTATGCTTTTCGGGCAGCTGATAGACAGTTTTCGGCCCTTAGTTAAATCGCAAAAAACACATTTGATGTTATTACTCCACTGGGTTCCTTCTATAAAGGAATGAAAGTTCTAATGAGCGCACCCTACCATAAGTTCGTCCCAAAACATACCTGGACAAGTCCTCCACATTGACAACAAATATAGGTAACTTGTCTTCTGAGAGTCCGAGAAAAATTGCATCCCCGTGTCCGATGCCGGGAAGACTAGATGGTGAAATGTAAACAGCTTTGCCAGAATTAACCATATTCTTCATCCCTATCATTGGCACGACCTGTAAAATCATCGTTTAGGCATGGGACCACCGCATAGCGGAACAACCACCCAGACGTTTATAGATAGAACAGTCTCCCCTCATATCAGAGAGCATATACAGGCTGCAACCGCAAGGTCAAATGGCAGACCAAACATATCTTCTAAGATTCTATACATGAGTCTTCTTGCAACTCTATCCTACTAAGCTTAGCCAAAAAATGCTTACAAGAGCATCTTTTCTGCTGAAAGCACTTGCTAGCCACGCGCTGTCGGTTCGTAGTTCTGTCGCTCGTTGTATTCCCGCATCAGCGAAGAAAAGACTCTATAAAATCACAAGTCCAGCCCAAACTCAGTTGCTTCGGAATATGGCGTCATTTAAGCTGCAAATGGGCAGAAATCAGATCAAGACAATCTCCATTTTTTCCAGGTCTCGCGTTTAAACATGGTCTTCTAGAATCTCCGTACGTAGAATCATAATAAATTCGTTCTGTCATATGTGAACAAGAGTGTATCAGCAGAGCAGATTATAGGAGTGTAAACTAGCGAGCCTAGAATAACAATTTTCCATTCCCCTCAAAAGAACGCGATGAGAACATGTTTGAGATGAGAATGAACGTCCGAACTAGTACAGCTACTGCGGCTCGATACTGGAGATCACAATTCTTCTGTGCTACCCAGCTTACCTGCTTCGAATTCGTGGCAGTGGCTTGAGTTGCAAGTATACTAAAACTCCTTGCCTCTTCCCATCTTCGCAAGCCTGGCTTCTGTGCTGTTTCATTACAAATAGAATCGGGTTAAGATTCAGCTCAGATCTGTTACCTTTGTATGTTGGAGGTTATTTCGTCACGTTGAAACGTGGTAAAAATGTGACTTTAAACAAAGTCGAGGATAGTGGAAAGCCTCGGGCTTTGGTCAGAGTTCCTATAATTTTATGAAAGTTCCATTGCTCATAATACTACTAGATGCAATATCAGAATCGTCTGCTTGCAATCGAATCTAAAATGCGAGAACGGCTAGATCTACGTAAAAAGGAATGTACTTTCAATTGGTCACTGCACCATGAAAGAAGAAGTTGAGATTCGACCATTCCGAGCAGAGAACAGTGCAGAGAAAGCAAATACAAAGAATGATTTTGCTCCCACGACGATACTTTCCACTTACTTTTTCTAGTAAGAGGAAGAAGACCATCGAGGTCTTTGGAAGGAGGAAACATTCTGCAGCTACTGCTGCAACATTGAGACGAACTGAAAGATAGTAGTGTCAAAGTGCGCAAATTCCCAACGAGAGGCCGGTTCGGAAATCCAAACAAAGCTTTCCCACAGGAAGCGATGTGAGACAAATTCATAACGCTAGATAGAGCAAGCAACATTGTCCTTCGCAGCAACGCGAATTCTGTCAAGATGTCCGAGCATGTCAGCTGCAGCTGCCGCGCGAGAATGTCATATACAACCCTCCCTCGCTCGCTCGGTCCCGAGAACACAGCAACTCCACCATAGACACCGCACTGGCCTCGCTCGGAAACAGGTCCGCTTGTCCCCGGCGCAACTACCAGCAGACGGGTCCACCAGTCCCCACCTCAAGCTCCCGTCGCAGCGCTCGAGAAGCTCCGCCATGAAAGATGGATGCTGTCGTCGAGCATCCGGCCGCTCGAGACAAAACCCTGGAGCACATATCCCGCGGACAAGGCCAACGTGGAGCAGGCGTTTCCGTCCATGTCCCGCTGCCCTACCGCCGGCGTCCACTCCAACCGCCTCCGTCCATCTTCCGTTCTTCTGCTCCGTCGTCGCGATAAGGTGCCTTGGCTCGCTCGGCTCCGCACGAGCAAATCTCGTTGCTCTTCGCGCCAGCCAGCCGCGGCTTCGGGCTTTCTTCTGCATTCTTGTGCAGCTCTCACTGAATTGTGTTCTGAACGAACATGAAGCTGCAGCTGCAGGTCCGAGCTCTGAGACAGACCGAGAGGCATTGACGGGAATCGTTTTTTTTTTTTGGAAGCCAGCCGCTCCAGGGCGTGAGGAGCAGCAATGGCGTGTGGTAGCGTGGCTGTTTGCGGAGTGAACCCGACTTGCGTCACGTGCGAGAGGGTCTCGAGAACTTTGCAGAGCCCTGCGTCGGTCTCCACGAGCACGCGAAGTGTACGGGAATGGAGCAGTGGGAGTTCTGCCATGTTCAGAGTGGAATTTTCCGCAGGATATTTTATGCCCATAGCTTCTCAAAGACCACCCCGCAGCAGAAGCAGTGAGCATCCTTCCTCTGCCACCGCAACTCTGTATCTCTCATCGCCTGTCTTTCAAGCGCTGAATTGCACCTCGCGATGACCAGATTTCCCTTTCATTATGAATTCTTATGTTCGCCGGGATGGCACTCGCGGGACATTCTTCTGAATTGTAGATTGCGCATTCTTCCGAACAGAGAAGTATTGCCCAAACTTCTAAGCTCACTCTGAACATACCTCTTCAGCTCCACTTCAGCGAAATCTCTGGAGCACCGGTTTAGTGAAAATTACAAATTCCCGCGCTGATAGTTGCTATGGACCCCCTCTAGGCCCATTGCAAGCGGCAAGATACAGGACCAGAAGTTTAGTTTAGGAGTCGATCAAAATCTAAGGCTTGGCAGCAGTAGGAGAGTGCTATCATCTCAGAAGTTTCGTTTCTCCTTTTCTTGTTGTTAGTAGCACCTAGTGTTTGGCGAACCAAGCCTCTTCGCTGGTGGAGTTCAGAAAGTCAAGCTGATCAAATTGTAGCTTAATTGGGATTTGGTTCATATTGTGCGGACAGGACGTGTGGAAGCTGCAATGGTGTCCGAGGATGCAGTGCAAGAGTGGACTGACTTGGAATCAGATATTGCTTACCTGACACGATCTGCAAGACTTGTTCAGGTAAGAAACCCCTTGTTAGTTTGTCTTCGGTATTAAAAACTGCAGCAGCGGCAAGGTTTTCTGAATCTCGACATATTGTGTACGGAAGAATTTGGGTCGTGTGCATCTTTTTATCATGACGCTTTTGTCGGCAGTGGTATCCAGGTCATATTGCCAAAGCCGAAAAGTCTCTCAAGGAACAGCTTCGCCTGGTTGATGTCGTTGTAGAAGTGCGTGATGCAAGAATACCACTCGCCACTACTCATCCGGAGGTACTTTTTTCTACTGCCGGAGGACCATGTCCACCATACTTTCCGACTTTTGGTGGTCGTTGTGATCTCATGTTTCAGACTTGATAATCGACTAAATCATCAATCGAACTAATTATGTTTTTGCTATGTAAAATATGCGAGTTGAAAGCTTAACGTCGAGTGTGTTCTGTGATCCCAGATTGACGACTGGATTGGAGATAAGAAGAAAATTGTGGTTTTGAATCGTGAGGATATGGTATCTAGAGACGACAAAAATGCCTGGGCAGGCTACTACACAAGCAAGGGCGTAACAACTCTTCTAACAGATGGTCAGCGCGGAGCTGTGAGTTGCTTGTCAACCTTGCACCGATAAAAGTCAAGAAAATAGAAGGAAATAGGTAGCATCCTTCATCGATATAAGTGCAAGAGAAAGGAGAACGAAAAGAAGCCGGTTGAGAAAGCTAGTTCGAGCTTTACCCTCTATTTGTCACCTCGCTATATCTCGGTTAGAACAACTGAACTCTGAGTCATATTAAACGTCCATCTTCGAACTCAGTAGTACCTATTGAGAAGTACTAAAGCTGTGACTGTTGTGATGTGCAGGGTATCATGAAACTTGGAAGGGTGGCAAGGTCTGTAGCTACTGAGATCAATCTGAAGAGGAGAGACAAAGGCCTTCTACCTCGTGCAGTGAGCCTTACCCACCGATATTTTGTTGATGCTTTAGAAAAGCAAGGGTTCATATATTGTGTGTTCGTAAAGAGGTTCATATAATACCACAGCTTTTAGTGCTCTATAATTTCCTCCTAAGTGATGAGGTTATATAAAGTATGTACAGTTTTGATCTTGGGATCACCCTAGTGCTTAGAAAACCAGCGTCTCCAGCAGTGCCGAAGTCTAAGGGCATTTGCAATGTTGCTGGTAGTGCAGGTCCGCTGTGCTGTTGTAGGCTATCCGAACGTTGGGAAGTCATCCGTCATCAATAGATTGTTGAAGCGTAAGGTCTGTGAGACGGCCCCTCGACCAGGAGTAACGCGTGACTTGAGGTGTGAACCTGTCTGACCTTAGTTTTCTTGCACAAGATGTGAGTGCACTCCCGGGTACGAAGGTCCGAAGAATATTGGTCTTATCTACGTTACCTCTCGGGCCCTATTTACGTGTGGCGCCTGCCTTTGCCCACTCAGGACTCGTCTGTATCTTGGACACGAAAGTTCTTCTGTCTCAGTGTGATACTTCTCGCTTTCAATTTATTTGTGAAGAGTTTTTACCTCTTGCAGATGGACACGAATTGCAGAAGGACTTGATCTCATGGATGCTCCAGGAGTCTTACCGATGAGAATCCAGGATCAGGCTGCCGCCACGAGGTTGGCCATATGCAATGATATCGGAGAGGCATCGTATGCAGTTGCAGGAGTCGCATCAGTGCTGGTAGAGATGCTCAAGAGAATACCTACTGCGGGTGCGTACAACTTGAAGATGATTAGAAAACTCTTAGGTTTGGGCAATACTGAACGTCACAGATTTTTTCTGGAGCACTTTATTCTCAAATACTTTTCCCAATTACTTGAAAATCTTTGAGCTGAAGACCTCCTTGACTGTCTGTACAGGGCCAAAAGTTCTCACCTCGCGGTATAACATCCAGGCAGCAGATCTTTCGGGTGAAGAGTAAGTTTCACGCTAGCTTTCTGAGAATTTCGAATGTTTGCTGTACTTCTGAAGACGATAACCTTTTTGTTTTCTTAAAATTCCAAATGGTTATCTTCCTTCAGGTTTCTGGAACAGCTCGGACAAGACAAGTTTCAGGGGGATGTGAACCAAGCAGCTTTTCGTGTACTACGAGATTTCAGGAAAGGAGCTTTTGGTTGGCTAGCGCTGGAAAGACCTCCTTCTGAAAAATCCTTTTAAAACATACATTCTCTGGTGCTATGCCAAATGAAAGTCGACCCCACAGCTGCGGCTGCTTCTGTGGAGACGATATATGTTGTACATATAACCGTGAGGATACATATTCAACATGTATCGTCACGAATCCTTGTATGAAGAGAGTAGACGCCAGAAGCTAGACCGGTTTAGTTCTGAAGCACGTCGCTTACTGTAGCATTTAGCACTTGGAGTTAACTTTCATTCAGTGAAATCGCTCTTCCTTTCAAGGAGAAGGCTTTTATGATTTGCACCTCGCTCTACTTTTTGGGGAGAGAATTTGTGTGCCCCATGGATAACATCAATGCAATCTTTACTTTCTGTTGGATCATATCTTACATAAGGGTCGTCTCTTACACAAGGGCCTCATATCTAGATTCGAACTGTCTTTCTTGTATCCTTGCAAAACTACCTTCTAGAAATAGGAATCTTGTCTGCTCCGAATCTACTGTGTTAAATGATTCTATCGAATAATTATTTAGAAAGATTTTAATTCTAGAGGAAAGAACCTCTGAATGGAGTATTATACTTTGTTTCTCACGACTGATCTCCACGTTTCAAAACTCTCCACCAGAGAAGACTGCATATCTTTCGAGTACCTAAACTGGAAACGCAAAGTAAGTGCGAAACCATGTTTCTTTAAACCGCCCCTCCCTCTACTTCCAAGGTACGAACGACGAATTTACAATAACCTTTTTGTAATTTACCAGATTCTCTAAGGAAGGGAGCAAGTGATCCCAAGTCGACCGTCACCTCTACACATTGTGTTCCTCTTGAAGCAAGCATTGCGCATTTCACAGACAAGACTTATTCGTGTGTTATATATCTAGTCAGCACTATACAGGTATCGCTTTTGGAGAGAATGTCAATGTATTTGGAGTCGGTTAGGCAAATTTATTCTTCGTTTGAATTTTACCATGTTATTGTTGCAAAGGTGGTAATTATTTACAGGTGACACTACTTTTTCGGGCATGATACAAGGTCAAGAATTAATGTACAATATACAAATCAGATGTACATCTCTTTCTAAATTTTAATTTTTTTTTCAATTCTTGCTTGTCTGAAGTTGTATGTAGTTATGTGTGTCTAATTCTACATGACAAGAAGATAGACTGTCATATAGATGTAATGACTTTCAAGTAAAATAAGTCATTAATCTATCTTCCAGAGAAAACTTGGTTTCCACATTAAAAAAATACAAGGTAGCGATGACACTGTGGATGGGCTGTATTATGCAGATCGATTGATGTCGAAAGTGCATAAGATATATTTCCATAGTGATGCTATTAGAATAGTATTGTCCTAACCATTGTGTTTCATACCCGTAAGACTTTAAAGGCATTTTTTGTGTGGCTATATCACATTGTACCACGTATTGTCAATATTTAAAGAAAGAGTTGAGCAGAGAGGCAAGACAAATCTACTGATAGGACTACACACGAAGATGAATGAAATACTGTATACCTAGGAAATATAGATAGGCGAAGACACGTGGCAAATGGTGTCCACGATAAGTACGAATGGTACAGTCACTCACAGCACGTGGACGGAATGTGGTAGCTTTTCGGACTTTCAGTTGAGCCATGGTGTGCGCTGATCGTGAGCCCTATACAGGTGTCAGTGCACGAAGCTTTCAAATGGTTGTCAGAAGATTCCTGTACTGAATCTGGTGCAGCAAGCAGCACAAGGGATCCCTCTCGGCACTTTCATCCAGCTTCTGCGAGTCGCTGCTCCCCTGCCCTTCGTGTCTTGAGCAATTCGGTCAGCAGAAGATAGCTCGTCGCTTCGATTCGTGCTTGAGTCGCTTTTGCGAATCAGCCTGCGGTTTTTCACATGATGCTGTGATCGCTGTATGTGGAGGAAGTCTGCGTTGCTGCAGCTGCGATGGACGAACCTTCTTCATGAGCCATGATCCCGACCTCCGACTATTTCTCGGTAAGCGGACGCAAGTCAGTCAGGATCAAGGGCCTTCAGTCGATATCGTTCGAGTTTTTCATTTGAAATGATGCTAGGATCCGATCGGCTCGGTTTCTGTGTCACTCTTCTCGTGATCCACAATTCAAAGTAGGAGGAGTAAAGGAATTTGGAGGATTTTACGAGGAATTCAGATCACGTGTGAAAGCTTTCCTTTGTGACTTGAGTCCTTCGGTTCTGTATTACTTTCAGATTTTTGGCTCTGCGGTGAATAGAAGGTACTGATATTATATCGGGATCTGTCATTCTTCTGAAGGAATCAGAGAAATTAAATTTCCAAATTAAATTCTCAAATGTGAATTGTCTGAAGCTCATGTGGTAAATCATGAGAACGGACATCGATGTTGATCATCCAGTGGTATGAAAGTAAACCGATCTGAGGAATGCCCCAGATACTTATATCTAATTCAGCGCAGAAATTTGGAAAGCTTCCTGGTTGAAAGCCTCCTTGTCCATAATAACTAAGTGGCCGAACCTCCTAGTACCTTGTATGGACTTGCTTTAGGGTTCCGATCATGCGCGTTAAATATTCAACCGGTTTCTAGTGCTCCCATCCTGAAGTACAGAGCACACGTATGAGTCTCTCAAAGATAATGTGGTAGAGGGAATAAGGAATCAACAGAAGCAGACATGAAGATAGCGAATGTGCAGAAATGGCTACGATATGGATTCTGGATCACCCACGATCTGCTAAATTATCTCTCTCGAGATTCAAATGATGTAGTGTTGTTTGCTACTCAGTGAAGGCTTGACATCGATAGATTGGAATTCTTGCAAGTAATGACACTTGTGAAGCAGAGGAAGGGACGTCTGTGCTAACGTCAGCATGAGTGGTGTGATCCTACTCTGAGGGGATAGATGCGCGTCAGGAAGTGGAGCCTCATCTATATCTGTGTGCCCTGCAGGACGGAAGTTCAGGGTTGCTGGTGGACATTCTTCTCAATCATTATGTGATGGTTATATTACTTATGACCATCAACATATGTCTTGAAGTACGAGAGATTCAATAGATGGAGAGACACAAAATGCAAATGTTTACTTATATCAAAACAAAAGCTGAGTGGAAGGATATCATGATGGTTTGTGCGAAAGTTAGAGATGACAGGGACCTGCGTTGTGGATGTGTATGGGGCAAAGGTACCAAAGACTAGTTCACTTTCCCGAGCTAGTAGCGTTACCTCTCGATTGTCGTTCGAGGAGAAAGATTGACGAGCTCAATGTCACTCCACAGTAGGTCACCGTCTCTCACCAGGATAAGAACGTCGGCAGTAGATGGGCATGATTCAGTGCCCGGCTTGGAGAAGACACGAAGTGCACCTTCATCAGTGTATTCCTTATATATTACTCCAGAACCCGCACAACCTTTACAGCAATCATCAAGAAGAAGGCGAAAACCTCGTCGGAAGGGCTTACGACTCACTTTGCTTTTTCTATTAGTGCTTGGTGGTTTCTTTCTGTTCGAATGGCGATATCTGTCATCACTTGGCCGAAAGTTTCAGTCCAGGAAGGACGATTCTGTGAAACACGGCGCTACTCTTTTATCCCAGGTGAGGAAAGTTTTGTTTTCCCTTGTTCCCTCTTTCTGTGCGCTGTCCGATACAGCATGACCATAGGTGGAGATGTCTTGGTATGTTCTGCACCATCAACTGCTCTTCCATTCTGCTGTTAACTTCTTAATTTTTAAAGATATAACTCTCTGCTTGTAAGGTGCAGGGAAGACAATCTCCTAAGAAATCAACACCACCAATGTTCGAGCGACTCCTGGCGTTAGCTGCTCATGCCCTTGCCGAGGTAGGGTGAATCATGCGAAGACAAGCTTGGCCGCCCTTATTGAGTCCATTTTCTTGTGGATGTGGATGAGATTAGTATACAGCTTTGAAACTACGTTAAATTTTCTGATCCCTATCGCTGCTCCTGTGAGTCCCAGGGAGATTCGAAGAGTGAACCCCATGATTTGTGGGAAGAACCATTCAAGGAAGCTTCGAAGTGGAAACCTTGCGCTGACGAACGACCTGCAAATCATCTCCGTAAGTCTTCGTCCTTTCAACCAAGTTGAGCCCAAAATACGAACTCAAACTACAAGTACTTATGCTAATATGGTAACACTTCTTTCTTGCATTTATGGAAGTTTTTGAAGGGAAACGAAGATTTTGTCAACATATGCAATGAAACAGACTTAATCATAAAGTGAGGAGGTTTTGTTTGTGCTTACCCTCTTCATAATGCTCCAGCCCCTCCAGAGCCGAAGGACAGTTCCGGATACATCATGGTCAGTGCTGATGGTGGACTCAATCAGCAGCGAGTTGCGGTGTGCTACCATAACCTGTTACAGTTCTTTCAGTCGTCATTTCAGCTCCTCATTTTAGCATCAATGCTGCAGGCGGACTTTGGTTTGTTTACTTCATGAACTGCTGTAGAAATTTAGAACTGGACTAAACTACAAGATGGAGAGGGAATATCTTACTGGATCCAAATTTTGAACCTTCAGCTTGTAGTGTTTTAGATTTAGTCTAAATCGTGTATTGAATAGCTTCTCTGTATTTGGTTCAGAAGCCAAAAATTCTAGACTACTGGATATCGGATTATTCTATCTAGATTCGGATGTTTCAAGGAATGCAGCCATGTACTTCTGCTTTGTGTGAGCTCTATCCTGCCCTACCAGGTTAAGGCTATACTGGAAACTCAAGACCACTCGCGTTGAGACTGGACAACTTATTCTGAAAGTAAAGAGTGGTTTGCAAAGGGAATTTTTGCCCCAGAAATGCGGAATTTTGCATGTGATTGCATGCATTTAGCCATTTTCTTCTCTCATGGGGGACTTCGTCATGAAAATGTTGTGCAGGTCTGTAACGCAGTAGCTGTGGCTCGTTTGATGAATGCCACTCTTGTTCTTCCAAAATTTCTCTTCAGCAGTGTGTGGAGGGACAATAGGTACGTCAACCGAATCACACAATGGGTCGATCTATGTGATGTCTTTGTAACATCTACAGACGAGAGGAATTTTAGATACATTGTAAAAATTTCCCTATAATTATTGCATCCACAGTTGAGGGTTCGGAGCAAGTCATGTTCTCTCATTTATGATCTAGGTGGTACAATAATCAATCGACAATAATCATGCATATCTGTTGGTTTTGAAACTATACGGTTTATAGACAGAGGAACTATACAGTTTTTATATAGTTCTGTTTTCTATACTGTAACATTCTGATCGAAAAGAATACAAGTCGTAATATTTGAAACCTTTGTGGTATGGCCAGTCAATTCGGAGACATATATCAGGAGGACTACTTCGTGAAATATCTGAAGGACGATGTGCGTATTGTGTCAGAACTTCCAGTGGAGTTACAGTCATTGGATCTTTCAATCATGGGCAGCCTCGTGAGTGCATTAACTTGAGCCATTTCATATCCTTCAGAAAATCTCGATCTATCTTGCAGAAATTGCTGATTTTACCTCTGCTCTGTCCACAAGTTTGAATTCCTGTACCTGAGCTTGTAATGTTGACCTTATGAGACCTCGAATCAGTTGACAAATGCAGATGTGCGAAAGGAATCAATGCCACGTTTCTACCTTGAGACTGTGATGCCAATATTACTTCGGAATCGTGTTGTTCACTTCGATGGCTTTGAAAACAGTCTTTCTTTTGATCCTATACCTCCCGAGATTCAGGTATATCAAGACATCAGTTCATCAATATGGCTTATGTCAGACGAGCATACGATTGACTGGCAGCAATTAGAGGATTTTCTTCCCGTCCTTAATGATCATTTAGCTCGGACTTGCTGTCAGGGATTACATCTCATGTTTACAAGGTCCTTGTGTGCAGAGACTGCGCTGCCGTTGTAACTTTCATGCTTTAAAGTTCGTCTCTCGAATCCAGCGAACTGCGGGAATTCTGATAAGAAGGATGCGAGACGCAAATCCTCGTTGGGGCCCAATTGAAAAAGATTCACATTTCCCATCCCATGCTTCGAATATAGAGAAGGTACTAGTGGAGAACTATAGCGGCGCACGTGGTATTGCCAAAAAGGGTGAGACGGGTTTAATCAGTGTTACAGAAGTTCAAAATCCCCCCAGCAGGTATCTTAGTTTGCATCTGAGGTTTGAGATTGACATGGCTGCGTACTCGCTTTGTGAGTTCGGCGGAGGTGAAGAGGAGGTAAGGGAGTTGAAAGCATTCAGAGAGCTTCATTTCCCAACTCTTAACAAGCATCACGAGAGTGGCAAGTAAGTTTGGATTTTACCCTGATACTTTGAGAGAGTGATATTGAGTCCGGAATAAGCTACCATATTATTAGGCTCTTGCTCAATAACGAAGGCAATGCAGACCAGCATTGTAGTCTGCTCATAAATTCTGCCTAATTCAATAGATATCACTCGAGGGTTGTGGAAAATGTTGCTGGGAAGTAATTTCTCTTTTTAGATGTTAGCGTTTCATGTTTCTCGTGTTGCGTAGATTGTGGGCATTGTGTACATCAGTCAAAATATCTTAGAATAATCTAGGCTTCCAGGGTTTCAGTGTGAAGGCAGAATGTAGGTGTTTGGAATTCAGTGATCCTTGGTCAAAGAACATTTGAACGAAGACGAAAGAAAGATTCTCCTGTCGTGATAGGCTAGGTAGGTGTAGTAATGGATCGTCCTTCCACCCGTTTCATGAGTTGATCGTCAGCATTACGTCCTGCAATCTTACGGTGTGAAGTTGCTTGGTGTTGCCGTCGCCAGATTGCCGTCTGCAGCATTCTTGCGAGAGGAGGGAAAGTGTCCACTGACACCTGAAGAAGCTGTATTGATGCTGGCTGCGTTAGGCTTCAAGCGCAGTACAAGAATATTCCTCGCAGGTGCTCACATATATGGCGGGGAGGAACGCATGGCCGTTATCTCTAACCTCTATCCGAACATCGTAACCAAGGAGGACCTGCTCACTGCCGACGAGCTGGCCCCTTTCGCCAATCACTCTTCACAGGTAAGCTGGTCTCGCAGCTCGAATGAGCCAGCCAGGATTCTACTAACTCTTGCGTACACATCCAACAACTTTGTTTGCTTCTGAAAAGTGTACGCCTGCATGGAGCTGAAAAGATGAGTGCCCTGCAGATGGCGGCGTTGGATTTCATAGGCTGTGCTGCCGCAGATGCATTTGCCATGACAGATTCTGGCAGCCAGTTGTCGTCGCTCGTTTCAGGTTACAGGATATACTTTGGGCAGGGATACTTACCGAGTATACGACCCAATAAGCGAAGGCTCGCAACGATATTTGCCAATAACATGACCATCGAGTGGGAGGACTTCGAGGAAAGGATTAGAAGGACTGTGAGAGAGAGTAAGCGCGTTCTCGTCAGGCCGACCGCGAGAAGTGTTTACAGGCACCCTAGATGTAAAGAGTGCATGTGTCATTGAAATTCGACCGGTCGCGGCTCGTCGAAGACGATCTGTTGAATATCTTCAGTCTGGTACTCCATCACACGTAGAGTAGGCGGGCAGGGCTCGACGTTCACCGGATGAAAAATTATTTTCGAGTTCTTTTGGCATAATGCAGAGCCATCGGCACATTCAACCACTTGGGCAAGACCCACTGGTATTAGAGTAATAAATTATTAGGCCGTACGTCAGAGTACGAGTAGGCACATGGTTCAAGCACGATGGAGTACTCCTGTAAATGTATCGATTTGAAGTTGAAGTTTTCCTTTGGCTGGAAAGGCTGAAGTTCATTGTGATGAACAGGATCCGTGAAAGCGCTCAGCTGTATACTGTCATCTTTATCTACAAAAGTGACAGTTCTGGGGAACTGCAGAATATACATCTCAGTTCTGGGGAATGATATCACCGAGGTGCAATTTCTTTTGCGAATCTTTGTCTTATGGAAGCGGCGTTCTTCCTCGAATTTGCTCATCTTAATTTGCTCGCAGGTGTAAATCGTTCCCATCATTTTCTATCGAAAGTTTACCTGATCTGATTGTCTTTGCAGATATCAACCGAATGAAAGTTGATTACGGGTGTTCGTTTAACAGCTGATGTCTCTGTGATTCGAACCCTTTAATCTGATCTTTGCAAAATTTTCTCATCAAGGTATTGATCGCAGAAATTGTCTCGTTAGTTTCTTAATCGATGTTTAGGTACCTGTAAATCTTCTGAGCTTCTCTTGGAATGACAACGTTCTCTTGATCAGGTAATGGTAAGAATGCCATGAGGCTTGTATGATTTCCTGCTGGTTATCACGCCTCAATCCCTCGCTTCGGGCGACAACCCGCACATCTATACCATGGGAGGAAGGAGTTACAGCTGAAATTTAACGAGAGCCCAGCCGAATATATGTGCAATCCAGGTGATGCAGTTGTGTCAGGTGGCGTGAAGACCTTAGGTTGGACTCGAGTCCAACTTGCTAAATTTCCGCTAGCGAAACATATGAAGCGGTCCATGTACGTGACCTCAATATTTCTAAGTCATACATTCATTTATTCAGCGCGAGGTACATATTTTGGCAAGCAGACGAAAATGTCTGGATGTCGACCGCAGTCAAGGACCCAAGGACCAATTCCGAAAGCAAACGTCACTGATTCTGGCTCTTTCCAGCAACACAAAGTCGAGTGTTAACGTAATGGAGGTTAAATGTAGATGCTGTAAGAGGAATCTGACATCACAAGCACCGTACAGTCCCTGACAACTGACAGAACACGCCACCCATCTTCCTTTGAGTGAAGGGCAGGGTACGTATCACTCACTGGTGTGCACAAGAGTTTGACCATGTTGTCCTCTAGTTGAACCCTCGTTAAAATCCAAAGTAGGTTATGGTGAAAGCGGAACCAAATTGATCACAGAATGTTACCCCAAGGACATCTTTGTTCACTCTAAATACAGGAGATTAGTAGTCTAAAAATCCCTAACTGATGTTGTGTATTTTCTCCGGTTAGAAACGCTTCAACGAAAGATAAATTTTCATATTCCATATACGAAGCCTCGGTGTCACTCCACTCATGACAAATGGGATTTGTCAGAGTGATGGTGCCACGGTGGTCGACTTCGGTGGAGTGAGTCCTTGTACCGGTTTCAGTGCCTACTCACCTGGAGTGTTTTCTGGAGATGGACGGACTACTTTGCATTGGTGAGGCTGAACTGGTAACCACTCACTCAGTAAGAACATGATTGTTTCACTGACCTTGCAAGTGAGTGAGATCGAGACTTTTGCGTCCAACTCAACCTCGTGGCAGATTTCCTGTCAATTACGGCAGTCAGAGCGTTGATGGTGATTCATCTCCAAACTAAGGTTCCAAAGTTATGCATTTGGACATTCAGATCGGAACAGCTCCATGCTTCCGTTATGCTAACCTGCACCGGATGCAGCTGCCTCAGATGCAGCAGCTGATAACGCACGCTGTGTTCTCTCCTCCTCTTGGGCTCTACTTACACATCAAGTCCTTGTGAAGACCATTCCGGAAAGTTTACTACAGGAGTGCTCTCAACGGGCACAGCAAGAGGGCGAGAGCGGAGGAGGAAAGCGGTCAGAGGAAATAAAGAAGAAAAGGGAAGCCATGGATTTCTCGCTCAACAGTAGATACGTACCCATCACTTTGTGAATCATACACATCCGTTAATGTGGGTGGGCCAAGCGGATAGAGGCGGAAAGCTGATGTCAACAGTGATGGATCTGCTTGATTCTGCTGGTCCTCTTGGTTCCATCCCGATCCACTCCGCGTATGGTCAAGTGGGTGGCAGGCACTGTTCGTGTGTGGGTCAGGGCGAAGCCTACCCAACTCTCCGACCCTCATCTCATTCGGCACAAAATATGTGACAACCAAAATTTCTCAGGTAAAAATGAGTGCCATAATTGTCTATACCTCCGGATTGAAAAAGATCATCGAAGGCAAGATTTGGAGTACATGCTCGATTTTCTCGACGGTCATATTTCTATGGCCAAGAAAAGCTTACGAAATGTTTTTTGCTCTGGAATATCAGAGGGAAGAATGGTGGTGTGAATTAAGGCATCTGCTTCGTCCTGCCGCAAGGCAGTTGAGCGCTGTAGCTCAGGCCAGAAACCCGATTGCAAATCTTAGCTTTGCAACGTTCAACCAAAGAGGACTGTTTTCTAGCTAAAGAAGATAACTATCTTCTTCTTTGTCTCCGGACACTTAACATCTAAGTAGAGACAAGGCTAGCCAAGGTGATTGTCAGGCTTTACACTCTTTCCATTCGCATTTTCAGCTGGCAAAAAAGTTTAGGAGCTTGTCACCACCCACGCTAATCAGCAGGTTTCTGAGTGTCTGATGAATCCAAGGAAGCGAAATCATCTTCAATACAGTGCTGACTCGTAATTCCATTAGAAGTTCAGGATGGCACCAGACTGCAATCATTTGTTACAATGATGTCTTTACTATGTTTATGAATCTGTTGAGATTCAGCACTTCTTGTCTTGCATATTAAGTGTGTACTGCAGTGGAGTTGCGGCCTCTAGTTATCATTCTTAGGTTTGCAAAGCTACCTATGGATCGAAGCTGATAGTGATTCCGTTGATTATGGGTTGAGTCACAAAATTTGCAAAAGTTCATAAACCCGCAGTTACGCAGAGGAGAACATGTTGTTTTTTAACATCAGTCTGCTCGCGTAAGACAAAAATTGTCACTCTAGCGTAACGAGCACAAAGATCAGAAAGTAAGCTTTCCGAAACTTTGACAAATGTAAGAGGCGGGAGGGATACACAATCGTGCACGGTGGGCAAGTGTGGCGGATCCCACGGTATTAGACAGTGGAAGGTGGCAGACAACAGACAACAATGGTCCTAGATGAGTGTACAACAAATCCTTTACTGCAGTAGAGACCCAGGCCATTACAAGCATAACAGCAAAACGAGAGCATCAGCACTTCCTCTCGTAAGCCTTGCAGTTGCAATGTCATGCTTAAAGGAACGGTCAAAGATTTCGTAAACGATCGTTGCATAAATACAAACGTTTCAGAAGACCCATGCTCCGTCACTGTGGCCAGCAACGGAGCAGCCAAGTGTCGAATAATCGAGTACCCGGTGCGATGCTTGGTGCTACGCAGCCATCGTTCCCCAGCCGGAGGCTTCTAAGATTCCAACTCCATCATGGGCAAGAAACAAAACGTGAACGAACGGTACATCATGAGAGGTGAAACGCCTCCCGAGTTCCGCAGGGGCAGTAGCAGGTCCCTGAGGCAGTCCCAGTAGGGGACGGTAGGGGCGTGGCGTAGTCCCTCTCTGAACAGAAGATGGCGTCGAGTATGTTTTGTGTGTGTGTGTGGTTGTCGGGCATGTGCACAATCATGGAAGCGCCGGGCTGAAACGTGATGCTCGAGTTCTCCGACGCGCAAAATAGTACCGAGGATCTACCGGATCCTCGACATGGATGTGGATGCTTTCTGGCAGTGAGTTTGTGTATTTTGTGCGAGTGAGGAGGAGAAAGACGGTTCTCCCTCTCTCTCTCTCTCTGCTCGTATCGCATCGAGTGAGAACCAGAAGATGCAGATCGAGAGAAGCAATAATCAGCAATAAGCAATAGAGAAAACATGGAGATTGGGTGGGAACACTAAGGCCCATGGGTCAGAGCTCCAGACACCACTGCTTCAAAAGCGTATTGGAACCATAGCTGCTCCCCTCCTGTCCTACCTACCCTCGATTGCATCATTTACACTATTCCAGTGTATCCTCGTCATCATTTATTTCCTACTCATATGATAAGGCATTAAATTTTCATTCCTTTATCATGTACTTGTGATGATATTCTTAAAAGATTATCATGCCCAGACGCAAATTTAATCATGAAAAGGGCATCCAATAAGATATGCCTTGAGAAGAGACCCAGACCCATCCGTCTTACAGGTCTGTCACCATTTTTTCACTCAATCCACTCCCAACCGAGAAGTGGAAGATTTCGAACAAAAGTTACTTCACATGCATGGCTCAAGTAAACCTCTTGACCGTATCTCTACCATGAGCTCCGGCCTTTGCTACGCCTCCTGGATGGGACTCTGTCGAGCAGTCGAGCTCCAGTCGAATTCCGTTCGGCGCAAGCAGATCAGAATCCACCTTTTGTCCGGCAATTTCGAGTATCAAATACTAGTCGGCCTCGAAGGTTGGATTAGAGAGCTCCTTGTTACGGACAAGGATGCCTACATTTCCCTGTTGCTAGCAGCAGGTAATTGTGGCGGTGAGGGGAAATCTTGGCTGCCGGATGCTACGAGAAGCTTACTCGAGCCGTACAGTACAGAGGCGAGGAAAATGGGCCGTACAATTGCACGAGGGAAAAGATAGAGGTCATCCTCAAATGAAATTCTGCTGCAGCCGATTGTCGTTCTCTCCATTCCCGTCTAGAGGGAATTTCGGCGAGAAGTAGAAGCACCAGGAGAAGGAGCTGTACAGACTCCAACATCTGTTCCTTCGCTGCATTGCTAGAGGAGTGCTGGGCTTTCTCCTAAACCCTCCACATTCAGCGGTGGAGGACATGCCGCCGGGTTAGCGGAGGCAGCGCTATGGCTGAATGTTGGCCATATTGCTATATGTTGGTCAAGTGCGTACGTGGGCGTTCAGAGATTGCTAGTGGATTTGGAGGTGGCGCTAGAAAATCCCAAGGCATTTGGGCAGACACAGGTTCCCTCGCGCGATGCGCTGGTGGCAGCTAAGCACGAGAGAGAGAGAGAGAGGGGGCTGGGCGGTGCAGAGCACAGGGGAGCAAACGAGGGGCAGGGCCAGGTGCAGAGATGCAGTGATGGTGGTGGCCATGTAGGACGCGAAAGCATACATTGTTACGACACTCGGGAATTGCAGAAGGAGAAACCAAAAGGGCGTCCAGCAGTGACTGGGCCAGTGGGGGCCTCCCCGTCGTTGTCTTTGTCTCAAAAGTTCTTCCGCCCCTAAATTGCCCCGTTCCGCTGGTCCTGTGGAAGGAGGGAGGTGGAGGAGAAATTATTGCTAGTCCTCCAGGGTCCAGACTGGCTTTCCCGAGCTAGAGCTCGAGTGTACAAAGTTAGGGTCCACGGTAGTCGGTAGTTGATTGAAATTCCTCCGGAGCCCCTTTTCTCAGCTGAGACTCGGATGATCGATTGCATCCGCGCACATTCATGGCGCGGCTCCTTCGCTATCGATCTTTGTCGGATCCTTGACGATTGTTTCTCCGAGCTCCAGTCGCTCGACGCTTTCCATCATTGACATCTCCTCCTCAAATCCTTGGCACATCGGAAGACGTACCAGCGATAGATGTTGGCTGTTCGCCAGCCCATCCATCACCTCTCTCCTCCGACTTCGGAACATTTGCCGGTCCGCGGCCAGGAGATCGATTCCGGTCGCGCACTGCAACGAGGGAGTACTTTTCGTACCCCGCGTGCATTGTAATCCGCTTTGGCAGAGGGCTGTCTGCTCCGAGGGTCGCTCTCCTCACTCTCGGCGGTGGTTTTGTGTCCGCATGACTTGACCTCCAGCTCCCATTTTCAAGAAGCAGCGGAAGAATTCGGTGCATCGGTGCAGCATTCTGCTCGACTGATTCTGGACATTTTTAACTCCGTCCTCGACGTCAAGATTTCTTCGTGCACACCGACTCCTCGCACGCATCCCGGTCGGTCTAGGACCCGCCCCCGCACTGTCTGCTTGCTCCTTGGGTCATTATGCTCCCAGGCCATTAGCGTGGCGACGGTGGTTGTGCCAGTTGGTTCGAGCTCTTCTTCCTCTCCTCCTGCTTCTGCCACCAGTGCAATCTCCAACTGGCTGCGCATGTGTCTGCGCATGCCACCGTTGCCGATCACGTCTTGAGCAACGAGGTACGGAGGGAAGGCACCTGCGTGTGTAGTTTATTAGGTTTACAACTGGATGCGAGGGAGTGGAGTGGCAGTGGCGTGGCGAGTGCTTGTTGCGTGCAGTACCTGTGTTTGCGTAGGGAGGGACGGAGGGTAAATGAAATCGGTGCCGGAACTCATCATTTATTGCACGTGGTGCGTAAACAGAGCTCGATTCTATAGAGCTGGATTCATCGATAGAGCTCGGTAACACCTATTTTGCCCGTGGCGAGTACGGTGGGGTATCAGCCCAGGCTAAAATTGACGTGTGCGCGGTGGGGTATGGAACTATAGTGTACCGGGAGTGGGAGTAGCGCTGGAAGAGCTACGGAGATCGAGCTTGTCACTGGGAGGTATTGGTCGTTCGAGCAGGGAGTCGCACTTGCTGTCCTGGAGAAAATCACTAGGGAATGCGATGGACTGCTGTTTGTGCAGCTCTTCGGGAAACTCCTATCGGCCCCCGCGCAATGTGATCTGCATCACTTGCTTCGAGGGAGCGAGATCCCTCCTGGATCTCGCCCGGCAGCTGGAGCAAGATTGGCGGGACGATGCCGACCTCGATAAATCCAAAGCTCTCGTAACCAGGCAGGGTTTAGGCTACGCCTTCAAGCAGATGAAAGTGCTGGAGCGCGTGGAGGAGGAGGCCTCGGAGAAGCTCGAGTTTCTGGAATCTTTGGTGCAGGCCTTCCGTGACGGCATGCATGCGGATGTCGAGCTCGTCACCAACGACGGTCTCTCCATTCAAGCCCACCGCGTCGTCATGGTTAGCACACATCTCCTCGCATTTTCTCGCTGCAGCCCCCTGTCACACGATGATGATGATGATTATGATGATGATGATGATCTTGGTCCGAATGAATTTCGGGCTGCATCCGGTTCCCTTCCCTTCCCTTCCCTTTTCTGCCATCATCTTGTTGGCCACCTCCGATCTCCCTAGAAAGAAGCATTGCAGTGATTCACGACCATGGATGAGTGAGTGAGTGAGTGAGTGATGAACGCACAATGGCGGATCGTCTGTTCGCACGGATCTGAGCCTGACAGTCGATGAATCGTTGTTGTTTGTTGGTGGGTTTCTTCCTGCAAGGCAACCAAGTCGCCCGTGTTCAAAGCCATGTTCGAGGCCGACCGTATGAAGAAAGCGCACACGGGGGCGATTCACATCCAGGAACTGAGCCATGACCAATTGAAGTTCCTGCTCGAGTTTTTGTACTGCGCGGAGATTCCCGACGAGAAAATGGCACAGCACGCCCACGCTCTCCTGGTGGCAGCGGACAAGTACGACATCCCCGTACTGAGCAAAGTGTGCGAAGCGTACATCGCCACAACTGTGTGCCCGTCGAATGTCCTCGAGATTCTGGAGCTGGCGACGCTATGCTCGGCCAGCTCGCTCAAGGACACGGCCATCAGTGTCATCCTGAAGAGCTACGACGACGTCGTGTTCTCCAAGGAGTACGAGGACTTCGCGATGAAGAACGCCCTGCTGGCCGTCGAGATCACCAAAGCTCTGGTTCGGGACTTGAAGAAATAGGCATGACGACCCGAGCGAATCGGCCATTTCTGTAGCATACCATTCTTGTCCTCGTTTCGTGTCTGCGACTGTGGTTTCTGCAAATTCGCCATGTATCATAGGTAGAGGATCAAGAGATGTCTCGAGGGTTTTTGTCAAGACTGAATCTGAGCTTTCTATCGACAATGTATAGGTGATTATTGTGCCCTCATCTGGGAAGTTGAGAGTAATAACGTCTTGGTGCATCTGACCACGACGGAGAGTGTGACACTTTTTTGACACAGCATCTTTTGTTCGCACGGGTCGATTCGCAACATGTCCTTGAGAAGCGATTCCGTTTTCCGTCTCGAGCTTCCTTGCTTCCGAAACGCTCGACGAAAGACGAGTCTTCCAGCCTTCGTTCATGAGCTCGGACGGTGTACTTGCCTTCTGCTGCCGAGGTAGTAGACATAGAACGTGAATTCTTTTCTCGTGGTTTTCGTAAGAAAGTTCGGAATGACATTTTGCCTCTCCCCATTAAGTTGCGCTAGGCAGCGGAGAAGGGGCACTGGCCTCGAAGCGTTCGAACGCAAATGAATCGCCGTTTCACCAACCTTTTCACGCTCTTGTAGCCAAGCTCCTGGCTCGCTAACTGGTGAGGAAAGCATAAGAACACACGTCACGTCCACTGGTTCGTAAATCCCACCGACTGTACAGCGGATGTCGTGATCCGACGATACTGAACAAGAACCAAATTTACGAAGTGTGTTCCAGAACGGGGTTCACGTCCATGTCGCCCGACCTAACGAGTCGACGGTGAGCACAGGACTGGACAGGGCACCGCTCGGATTGATGTGACTGGACCGGACAGATGGACGAGCCTGGGTCTATAATGAATTGGTTGGGAGCCGATAGTACGCCCGACCGGATTCCTCAGCCCTGGACGCTACAGCAGTTTGAAGATGTACGACCACGAGACACGTCTGAGGAACGAGAGAGAGTCTCCTCAGACAGACAGGAAAGAACTTCGTTCCCTAATTACTCTATTTTTATGCATACGGCGGATGGAAGTAGAGAAGTGCACGATCGGGATCGAGGGTCGCCATCAATTTCTGTACCCTGGCGACGCTGTTCACATGCGAAACGCCTTCCTCCTACTACGTACGTCTCTGAGGGCAAATTCTGAGCGACATGCACACTGAGGAAAGTAAACTAAATGTCGCTTGAACTCTCACAATGCCTTCATGACGTCTTCCGTCTCGCTCGCGTCTCCGTGCTTCGTCGCATCCCTCCATCTCGTCTTCGGAGCGGATGTACTAAGCAGAAAACGGGTCACACCGACGTCAAAGTCTGCATATTTGAGAACTTTCATGCTCGCCTTGTAATTAGGTTCGACAACGAAGGCACCGTACATCCAACGTCGAGCTTTCAGTTGTTTCCACTCCCCTTCGGTTGAAGAATCTTCTCTTTCTGATCGGTTTAGTTGTGACGCCTAGCCTCATCATCAATGCGGACACCGGGAACCGGGAAGCATCACTGGACATTCGGAGCACAGACGGGCGGTCATGAATGCATTTCCGTAGTACACTGATCATCAGGCGGAAGAGCATGCGCTTGATGAGATCGACAGACAGACAAAGTTCCATGTTGTAGAGAAAAGAATGACGAAGACCAGGAATTGCGTCAGTGGGCTATCCAGCGGAGGAGGAGGAGGAGGAGGAGGAGCGAGGCCCTGAACTGAGCTCTGGTGACTCAGACGGGAACGAGAGCTACGAGAGTGCTCAAGGCCCCACTAGATTAGAGGAGAGGGGCCCCATGGACGCCAACATTCTCGGCATCTCGAACTCTTGCACCCTTTGACCCCGCTCAAAACCGAGCCGTCCGTTCGGAGCAAGAGAATCTCTTGTTTATTTTATATGTCCAGTTCCTATTGCGCGATCGATTCTCAGCCTGCACTGTGCTCGAGTGGTAGTCTCTATATGCGAGTCTTCCTTTCGCAGTTCCTCCAGTCCTCGCAAGGTTTCTTTTCACATCTTCACTCTTGGCTAGAGTTTTGAAGGTTCGAAAGGGGAAATTGTCCAAAGCTAGGATCCACTCTACAGAGAATTTCCAGCACGGGTCACGAGAGCGGACCGTCTTCCACTTTTATTGCCTTGCATTCATTTGACAGAATTCGTTGCCCATATTTTTACACGGGGTCGACTGTAGGGACCTGACTGGTCAGCAGAAGGGCAGTGGTTGCGAGAGTAGATTGTGAGTTGAGGATTGGTTTGCGTGCCTGGAGAAACTGTGAGGAACTGGGAGTGTAGCCAGTGAGGCGCAGCAGCCATGGAATAAGATTCTGGAAACTTTCGAAGATCTTCAGCTCGTTGGAGCGGTGTTGAAAATTCTCCGAGATGGCCGCGTCGCGAGCTGTACTGGTGCTCAACACCGGCAGCTCCTCCATCAAGTACGACACTCTCACGGTTACCTCTCGTGCTCATGCATTTATGCTAGCTTGCCAGCTGAAATTACTACTGCTGGCGCATTTGAGACGGATTTCTCTGCATTTTGTGACGGATAATTTCGCACTCAAACAGAGGGGGCATTTCTCTGTCCCGTTTCGTTCGCATCATGTGTATCCGGAAAGACCGTGCCGAGTACCTGAAAGATAGCTGTGTTTGACTGTTGTGACATTTGTGAAGGGAAGTCGTAAGTAGGCTTGGTGTGGTAGCTTCTGTGCGATGCTGTAAATTTGACGAATTTTTTTAGCTGCCCAATCAGTGGATAGCCCCAACTGAGTGAGGAGTGCGTAGTTGTGATGTTGCCGGAGAGACGAGGGCTTTGCTTAACTGGCATGCAGTGCTTTGGTCCATTGCCAGCTTAAATTGTCTACTGCTGAATTGGTATTGCTTAACTGTTTTCCCATTCTGTTATACGAATTCGACCGTACAGCCGTGACAGCCGTCTGAATCTCTTTCTTCGATCTCATCCTACTCTTTCAACATTACACTCGTTAATTCTGTGACATTGTGTGTCGGCAAACTGGAAATTCCTTAAGTGAACTTCTTTGAGGAAAACAGGCTTATTCTTGCATCTTTGGCTCGTCCAATTCGGTTCATCGCCTCACCGAGCACTCCCGATTCAACAGAGGACCACGATTTATCCTGGTGCCCCTTGTTGTGTCTGCTCGGATCTACATAAGTTGAACAAGTTAGGGCAGGCCAAGCTACTCATAAGTTTGAAGTGAAGAGAGTACATTTCAGAGTCCGAAACGTGGATGAACTCGATTAATCTACTCTTGGAAAATTGTATGACCTCAGAAGAAGTCTGAAACATTTGAGGACTTTGTCTACTACCTTATCAGTTCCCAGCAGATTCGCCTTTTTTCCTGCATCTTGGCATGGTTGACTGTAAAATGCATCATCACCTTCGGGCCTGAGATTGAGAGTTGTTGGTGCAGATATGCTCTTTATAATATGGGAAAGTCAGCATCGTGCGTATATCAAGGATTGGTGGAAGGCATCGGCACTCCAAAGAGTTCGATAACTCACAAGAACCTCCAGACTGTGCAAGACGTCAGACTGCAGGTGAGCCTGCGATAAAGTTTTTTCTGCTGGCGATGTTCCATATTTTGTCTACCCTTGGTCCATAGCAATACATGCATGACGAAGGTTCGTGCTCGGCCTTCCGCTTCCAGGGCTTGGATGTTGGAGATCACAAAGTTGGCCTCAAGAAAGTTGTGGAGCTCCTGCGTTTGGGGGACGGGCCATCTACCAACATATACGCTGTTGGTCACCGTGTTGTGCACGGTGGAGAGGCGTTAACGAAACCATCAATTATAAACAGTGAAGTGAAGAGTGCGATTGATCGTGCTAGTCCTTTGGCACCTCTTCACAATCCCCCATCGCTCCAGGTATCTTCGTTGCACTTGTGCTTACCTTATATATGCAACTGGAGACGCTGATCGTGCTTTCTTCTCTATAGTTCAACTTCTTGTTGATATAGTCAGGTCGGATGTGCTGGAACTACACGAAGTCTTTAATCTTGTTACGATGAATATAACGATTTTCTGATATACTCCACACGGAGTAGCTTGCAACACTGATCTGTCGCTTAGAGGAGGTTGGCTTGGAACTAAGGCGTCTGAACTGTTCAGGGCATAAATGTTGCTGAGGAGCTCTTCCATTGTCCTCAGGTTGCTGTGTTTGACACTGCTTTTCACTCTACATTACCACCACATGCGTACATGTACGCTCTCCCATATAAATTTTATGAGGAACTGGGGATCCGACGATATGGCTTTCACGGGACAAGCTACCGATACCTTTTAGGTCGAGCTTCTGAAATGCTAAAGAAGCCCAAGGAAGAAGTGAATATCATCTTGTTCCATCTCGGTGCTGGGGCAAGCATGGCGGTCGTGAAGCAAGGAATATGCGTAGACACAACCATGGGTGTGACCCCTTTGGAGGGACTTGTCATGGCCACGAGATGCGGGGATGTTGATGCAGCCGTAGTAGATATTCTGGGAGCGCAGAGAGGAATGGAAATGGGAGATGTTGTAAACGTGATGAACAAACAAAGTGGGCTGTTTGGTCTCTGCGGCGATAAAGACATGAGGACTATCATCCAGGCTGCCAAGAATGGAAGTGAGAGGCACGCCCTCGCCCTGAAGGTGTTTGTACATCGAATTAGAAAATATTTGGGAGCGTACATGGTTCAGCTTGGGGGCGATGTCGATGCCCTAGTGTTCAGTGCTGGAATTGGTGAGGCGTCTGGACAGATTCGAGGACTGATATGTGAGGGTCTACAGAGTTTTGGGATTGAACTGGACGAGCAGGAAAACAAGGATGGACACGTACCTGCCAAAGAGATCCAAAGTCGGAGCTCCAAAATCAAGGTTCTAGTCATTCCTACTGACGAGGAGCTGAGTATAGCGCAACAGACGATGGAAGTCGTGGAGTCTCACAGTCACGTCCGTTTGTGAAACGGGGCGTCGTCAACAATCCCATCGCTTGGCTTCTTCCCCACAAAAAAAATCCGAAGATGAGGTACTACTTTGTGCAGTATCCAGGTTGTAGTCTGGTTGAGGCTGACCATCCTGACGAACGAGCAAATGTAGCTCCTCTCATTTGTTGATTACTACATCCAGTGTAAACCCGGTCCTAGCACAATGGCAATTTGGAAGCTTGATTCTTCGCCAGATTTGGAGAATTTTTCTGCAAAAAGTTGCAGCATTGATAAGGTTTGATATCTTCATCCATTTATATGTCCAGAATTGTTAGGGGAAAGGAAGTCCCACTTTTGCCGACAAAGTCTCAGTAATTGCCTGCATTTTCTGTGACCAAGGTGAGGTAATGGCAAGTCAGGCCATTGAGTTGAAGCAGCTGCAATACTTATCGTGTTAGGAACCTGCGTACAACACTTCATTCGGATGATCTGCTCCTACCGCAAGGAGTCTGCATGCCACCGTATACTTCGGTCTTCGGAATCTCTCTGTCAACGACGAATATCCCTGGAGCTAGCGTACTTAGATGCCTCTGGAGGCATTAGCTGAAGTCATGCATCTGGTTCACCACTGACGATCCACTGGGCTAACGGGTACAAGGTATGAACTTCGTAGTAGGTGGTACGCTAAAATGTTTACCCTGTATATTTGAGAACAGACCAGCACCAGCTAATGAAGTGTATTGTACAAAACCGAGTTATTTAAAACTCTCGAAAATAAAGCCGTGTCTCATTTAGAGTTTGTTTGTTCATCTTGGAGATTTCTCTCAACTGGTCTGGAGGTCCTTTCGATGCAAGACAAACTGAGGACTTGAAGCTGGATGTGTGTGGAGATCGTTCTTTGTTATGGTATGTGTTGTAATATTACGGCGCCTCATGTTGCCCCTTTCTAGAGACAACAACAGATGCACTGATGTAATCTTGGAATCTGTGACACAAAAGACCACTGAACTTTATGATGCCCGAGTCCCTGTCCATGCAGATTGCCACCTAACTTGAACGGATTGCAGCGATAGAGTTACAATCATGAGAATCAGTGATTTAGAACACTGTAAGAAGGATCTTGCACTTTTCACTGACCAGTGTTTAGAATGACAACAATGCCCAATGGTAAAATCAAGTACTCAGCATGCCAAAAACCTTGTGTCCAGAGAAACTTCTGTAGCGTCCAGAAACAGCCGGGACAGACTGGCGGAAGAACAAACCTATCATCTCACGATTATATCCGATTGAAATTGAGCGAAAATTTTCGCAAAGTATTCGAGAATTTTCGTCTAGATCCGTGTTGTGGCCAGCAAAGTATGGACTCCCCGGTGGCATCTTTGTGTTTATATTCCGCACCGTGAAGGCTACGTCCCAAGAGTAGAATCTATTGTGAGCTGCAACGGGGGGCAGGGTGGTAAGGAAAGAATCAAGCATCAACTTCATCAATCAAGCAATCAACCATGGCTTTGGATGAGCGAGCAAAGCCCTGAGGACCTGAATACTCCTTCAGCTGCGAGTCCAACGGGATAGACCTCACAGTTGATGCATGCGCTCCAGTTTTCCAAAGACTCAAAATGAAGCGGAAAGAAGTACTTCTTTCAGCGGGCAGGCAGAGGGCAAGTGCTTTTTTCACATGCTTTCCTTGGCTGATGTGTCGTGTCCAATGACCATCGATTCGATCTGACTGATTGACTGCCGAATGACTAATTGATCGGATGGAAGAAACACAGGAACGCAGTACAAGCTGGTGTGGGCTGATCTGTGCTTAGACTGTGCTAGGCTTCTCATTATGGATCAGCACATGAATATTGAAAATGGCGGGTTTGACTTACCTCCGGTCATGCAAAGCTAGATCTTTCGGTGTCTTATCCTGACGATAACTATCTCAAGCTTGAGGGCGGGTAATCACAGCTTACCGTCTGGTCCTCGTGTGATGGAGGAATCTCGCATTGCACGTTACCAGGTTCTGGAACTGCATGTGTTTGGCCAACATGCAGCTTACCTAATAACGGGCACAAAATAGAGAAAGCGCCTCTACAGTCGTCATGTACATAATCTAATTTGGAAGCCACTGTCAAAAAAAATATCTTTGAAGTTCCAAATTTATCAATTACCTCTAAACATCCGGATTGGAGTGCATCCCACAGAGGTTTGCTTAAGGACGACAGATCCCAGAGGTTTTACTCGGAAATGTGACCCTGGTCTAAGCACAAGCATGAAGAATATTGTGACCGGCTGACAGAAACGTAATAACATTCCAACTGCTTACTGGAATCTCTACAACGCTTGAGAGAACGATTCGGCCTGCCGATGCAATGCTTTGGCCAAAGAACATCATGTACATCTCCCACTGCGTCTCAGCGGAAAGCTACAAAGCAGCGACATCTGATCAATGAAAGACGGTACTTTGTAAGGCTGACCCTCAAACACCATCGCTTTGTATCACTTTAGCACGCAGCGGCCTTGGAAAGTTCAGCTGATGTGGACAAGTCGAAGGTAATGAGATCGATTGTCGCTTTCTTGCCTTCGCCATGGCCACGAGCATGCATTGCATGTGCTGTGGAATATGCTTCATGATCGCTAACGTAGAAGGGTGTGGACCGTGCGAGGAACCCATCCGGTAGGTCGGTCGGTCGTTAGAGTCGTTGCACCTTATCTACATGGGGGAATATACTTCCTTGTCAGACGGCTAATCGATTTCGTATTCTTGACGCACAAGTGGAGGAACTGAATCGGAGCTTTATGTGAAGATCAGAAAGAAAGAAGAAAGGAGCTCTGTCTCCAATCGAGAACAAGCCCATTTCACATCACTGATTCCATTCCTAACGATAGAAGGATCGTAAGCCCTCGGACCCGGGCAACAACTTTCGAAGGCCAACTGACTAAATCTGTGCGAATTACTCTACATATACTTAAGTCAAGAGTCTGTAATTCCTATCATTCACAGCCGCAACCGCGGCACCGCTACACGAGTCTCCAGACCAATATCTATGAGGCGGAGCCACTAGCAATGTCGTCAAATTAGTAGAGAAGAAGATCTACATACAGAGCAACAAAATCTTACACTGTCTATTCACATTAGTTCCTTTTCTTCGGCCCGAAAATCTTTCTGTAGTTTACTACTCGTCTCAGAGCCATGACCACGACTATAGACAGCAGCAACGGCGTTCCCCAAACTGTCGAGTGGAAGGATTGACGAGCTGGAGTATGCACCGGCCGAATGCTGGTGGTTACATGAGTCAGCGGAGCCGTGGTCTCGAGACATTGTCGATCGACCTGGGCAGCATCAACTTGTGGGATCAAGAACGAGGAAGTTGTAGAACTGGAAATGGAGGCGAATTTCGCATCGATGTTCGCTCCGGAATCGATGGGTCGATCCTCGTTCTTGCGACTGTTGTTGTTGTGATTGAGGAGGAAGAGTGGTGCGAGGCCTAAAAGACATCCGACGGTGACTCCAGACGACGCTCCCACCGTCTCAGCCCACCATGCCTCCTTCTGCTCCATTTGATGAGCAGATATTGGAACAGCATCCGGCATCATCTTTCCTGACCAACGCTCGATATACCCACGGAAAGCAGTTCCGATAAGATCCGCCACGGCATTGCCCAAACCTGCCGATAAGAGAGTGGTGAGGCCTAGGGTTGCACCGATGGAATTCTGGATAGCATCTCCTGCTATGATCATAATTGCATTGTCTGTGAATCCGAATCCAACCATCCCGATTGCCGCCCTGGTGAAAAGCTGAACCATTTGCTTTGTCGACAGTGGCTTCGTAGAGTGGCCATATTTCATAGCCTGCGCCTCGGCATACGTCGCGAATTCCTTCGCGTCCAACATTCCGTCCAAATTCACATCGGCTTCTTTAAAATGTGCATCGGAGTGCTCATCGGACCCGCAGCTGTAGAACGCTGACAGAAGAGCCACTCGCCCTTGCCGATCCAGAGAAGAAACCAAATCACGAGCGGCTTGGGTCGCAAGATCTATTTCCTCGCTGGCCAGAAGTTTTCGCATCCCGTCAACGACACCCTCGACCTCTCCCACTGTCTCTCCCCCGTCCGGACTCTGCTGCTGCTGCGGTTGCGCGTGACAACAAACGCTCGCCCCCCGACACCGACCTCTCCCACCGGCATGCACACCCCACACTCCGCATCTCGAGTTCGGTCCTTCGATCATCGGCCCCACGCGCGCTGCACCGAGCGCAAAATTGACGGGGCTCGACCCTCCCGCAGCCTCTGCTTCTCGATGACTGCAGACGAGCGAGCTGCTGCTGAGGAGTTGCAGACTCCCCAGCGCCAAGGGAGGCACCACGATGCCCATCAGAGGCGGACAAAACCGGAGACGGCGACGATGATGATGATGGAGCGAACGAGTGAAATTCTCGAGTCCAAAATCAAGACGACGGCCTCTAGTGTAGCCTTCCCTGCTCGCTTCTCAGTCGCAGCTGCCGGTCCTACGAAAGAGTCGTCGATGCCCGCGGGAGGCCGGGCGAAATTCCATGTCACGGGCCCCCGGCGGCTTGCAATCGGGGCTGCAAGGCTTGCAAATGGTCACGCCGAGATAAGAAGGAGGGCCATTGGGTCCACGTGTCTGCTTTCGTACGCGGCTCGTGCCCGCGGTGGCGCTGCAAGCCCTCTTGTCTCGAGCCTAGGCACGGGTCACGACGTGTGTAGGCCCGAGCGCAATGTCCCGATTCTGTTGCTGGAGCCTGGAGAGCGAGCGAGCGAGCGAGCGAGCGAGGGAGGTTCGAGCGCGGTCCGTTGGTGCGTTCTGTGGCCGTGGTTGAGTGCATGGGTTCACGCAACCGCAGTCCATGGATTCCGATCCGATCCTTGCGTACCACACGCCAGGACACGGGTTTTACTCGATTCATCGTCGACTGACTCGCGCTTCTTGCTTGCTTGAAGCTGCTGAATCCCGATGGCGTGCGGGCTGGGCTGCAACCGAAACTCCTTCCGTGGATGGCACCTACCGACGGAAGACATGGTCGTCTAAGATTCTTGAGGGCCTTCCGAGTTGCTTGAGGCTCCGCGTTTCCTAGCTTACAGAGCCGTGCCCGAAACGTGGGTCTGATGGTTCAGTTTCGCACAAGGAGTTGATGTGCACCCGCAAGGGCTTGAGGTCGAAGGACTTAATATTCATTCATCCACTCTACATCCTCCCGATTGCCGACTCGTTTGCAGTCTTCAATGCAGAAAGTAGGCTTCGGAAGACTAAGCCTTCCATTCTCGGAAAACCCCTTACCGAGCCAGCAACACCTTTTCCTTCTCGTACCATGCGGTCTGACCTATAACACACGTCACAGCTTTTGCAGTGAAGAACGAAACGAGTTATACCCGGACGGCGCAACGAGAAGTACGTATGATGCACGGAAAGACGTATGATGCACCGAACGATGAAGTGCATATTCGTGCAGTATGAATCATACTGCACGAATATGATCGCTGTATGATGGATCAGGAGAAGTAAGGCGATCCATTCCGAGCTACACAGACTCATCACGAATTTCATGACTTTCTCTGACACACATGCTCAGAACTCCTTGTCAGACCAGACGTAGAAGATTGGCTTGTTTGTTTCCTCGTCCTTCTCCGCATGGAAGAAATACCGACGCGTGATCCAGACGCCAACAGGTGAGAACGACGACCAGGCATGTGCTGGAACTTAAAATACACTTGGAACTCCCACTAACCCTTATGAATCACGCGGGCGAGTAAAACAAAAAAAATGGGACTTCCCTTCAAGAACGAAAACGAGAGTAACAATCAACATAAGACTTTAGAGCTAATCATAGATCTAAGTGATTTTGACTCTAAATAGTTTTGACTAGTTAGTTAATGTTAAATAATGTTAAATAAGATAACGGATAGAAGTTCTCCATGTCGCAACTACGTGTTTTTCGATAATGATTTCCTTACATTCCATGGATGTAACCTTTAAGTAAGTTAAACAAATTTTAGTTCATAAATATTTACCAATATTAACAAACTGTATCAGAGGTTGAAGGGAACTAGTAACAATCTTGACCAAAGAGTTTAAATGAAAAGTACCAAACAATTTTTGGAGGTTGAAGGGAACATGTAACAATTTTGACCAAGTTTAAATGATAACTACAAAACATGGATATGTACTGCAATAACAATAATTTGAATAATTTGACGGTCAACGGTTCTAAACAAGCTGACATCAGCGTGAGCAAATCAACGATCAAAACATATTTTTTCGTCAGCAAGCTACTCAAATTCTCTCTTATTCAATGCAACGCAATGTTAAATTTTGCAAACATAATATTTACGTCAAATAATTTCTGCTTTTCGGCCGTCATTAAATTGTGAAGCTTCCACTCTCGTGCTTGCGGAGATACAGCTCTCCCTTTGGGATACTTATGATCATAAATTTTATTGTAGTCCGATCCACTTGACATTTTCATTGCAGTATACTGATAACTGAAAAATGAGTTACAGATCAATCAAGGATAGAGAATAGTAATAAAGCACATAGAAATTAATTTCTCATTGGCACAAAAAGACCTTACATTTAAAAAAAAAGGAAGTTTATATTCATTTTAAAGTATAATTCAAGATTTAAATAGTCCAAATCATCAACAATGAAAGCAATAATTTGACATAATTATTTTTTAAAAAAATTTATCCTTTATTTAATAAAAAAAAAAATTTGTTTGATGAAAATATTTCTAGAAATTTTATTTAAAAAATTTGAAAGATATTTAAAACAAAGATGTTATTCTAAATTCAATGGAAATTTCATTCAAATAGTAGTTTGTGATTCAAATAAACAGATTGTATCCTTTGTAGTTTAATCATATCAATAATATCATGACTAAAACATATTTAAAATACCAATTTCAGTAATCATTGATATCAAATACACATTTGACATTAAAAAAATGAAAAAAGTAGATAGATAATTATTGATGGATGCATTGATTAAGTTTCTACTTCAAAGAAATGCATAGCTTCAAGAAGTAAGCTATATGCTTGAACAAATCTATAACTATGATCAAATAGAAACAAAAGATAATAAATTGTCATTGTAATAATTAGAATTAGAGTGGGTAGTCAGAGTACAACACATTGATATCAATTATCACTTTATCACATATGCAATGCAGTTAGTTATCAAAGATGCATTGCATGATAAAAATATTGAGCTAATAAAAAATGACGTTATTGTAATACATTTCATATGCTCATATAATATGATCTATTTGAAGAGTTTTAAGATACATTGGGCTAATATACATGTTTTGTATGAGAATTTATAAGTAGATTTGACTTGCAACTTTAGTGAACTCCATATATTTTTCCTCAATCATGTTTAAACTACAAGTTAATTTTAATATAAGTAAATTGCTCCATTATGTATTTTTGAACATTCTTGTCTAGTAATTATACAAGAAATGAAGATTGCTATTTCCATGACAAAAATTAAAGTGTAGTTTGTTTGTATTAATTTAAGTCTTAGATTAAATTCTAATAAACCTAATTTGAATCAGAGTTAGATTTAGGGTTAAGCTTGATTAGGATAAAGCAGAGGTTTTTGCTATCTAGTCTATATACAATGATGAGTTATAACTTGCATTTAAAAACTTTGACGATTTTGATTAAGTCATCGTTGTTTCTATGAATGTAGTTTGAGAGTGAAAAATCACGTTCATGTGAGTATGTTGTGTGTTTTGAATAAAATGATTTTTTAAATTTATTTTTTATTTGACAAAAAAAACAAGATTTTTTTTTCATCTATGATTCATGCAAATATTTAAATGTGTTTAGATCATTAATCACAATAAAAATCTTCACGTTTGAGTTTTAAGCCAAATGAATAATATCTGTGTTAGCGTCGTTCTTTTGTGTTTTGTATTTTGTATTAAGTGTTTTTTTTAAAAAAATTTCTTTCAAAAAGAAAGAGTCTAGAAATTTTTTTCATCTAAGTTTCATTCAAATATGTTTATATATTTTCATCATTAATCATAATAAAAAACTTGACAGTTGGTTTTTAAGCTAAATAAATAATCTCTAGCAGAAATGCAAAATCCAAAATTTTTAGTTATAAAATTAAAAACTAAATTAGGATAGTCTTTGTAAAGATGATATATGTACAATTACATAAATATAAATTATTTACGTATTTTCTTTTGTCATATTATCACATGCAATTGATAACACATGTATATATAACTTATATATAATAATAATAATACCAAAAAAAGCTATGGATTTTTTTAACATCATGCAACTTTTAACCGTTTATATAACAACAATATTATAGACTATTTTGATTGTGAGTTCATTGTGAGATGCAAGTAAGCGCATGATTTGATAATTAATATTTTCATTTGTAAAGAGTGAATATATTGATAAAGCTTTAATAGATTTTACGTAATATTTTATTAAACATGATCAGATCTTAGAGAGGAAGCAAGTATAAATGACTTTAATTCGCCAAGTAACATAAATATGTAAGTAGATAAGACTTACGTTAAAGATGAAGAGATCACATGAGTTTTAACAATTTATTGTATGATTATGATGTGCAGTTCATTGTTTGATAACATTTTTTTAATAAATGTTGATAAACTATTCAAATTTGTTGATATACCATGCTCATAAAAAAATTGATATCAAAAATGACAATCAAATTTTTTCATATTTGTAACATACATTGAAAGTTTACAACTGCTAAATTATGATTTGTTAAATTTTGGGCATTCAGGATTTGATCTCAATTTTCCAACTAATAAATTATATTTTGATTAATTTTGGACATTAAAGTTTTGATATTGTGTATTGTGGATGTTTGTAGTATGTAAAATTTAGCTCAATGAACATATATCTTATTAAAAATTACAAAATAATAAAATCTCAATAATTCTTGTGAATAACTTCTTTGTTAATATGTTAATAATTTTATTTTTTAATTTTAATTTATACTGGTTTTATAACTTCAAAAATAATATCTCAGTATTATATTTTAAATAAAATAATAATGAATAATAAATTCATTATATTATGTAAAAATTTTAGAAATTTTGACTTATTTAAATTTATAATATTATCTTGCACTTTTTACTATTATAAATTAAGTATTGTGTACATGATTAAAATTGCAATATTCTTGTAATTTGTACATGACTAAAACTCATTTTATTGAAGATTTTAATCATATTTTTTAATGTAAAATCAATTGAAATGGGAGTAGAGAGATGTAATGAATACCATTTTGAGAAATTTGAATATTGTGTTATAATTTGTTGTTCTATGATATTGTGCTTGGACAATCAATCCAAGATTTGGACAAATTATCACATTTGTTTTTGAAAGCACAACACATTATGACAATATTATTATGTAAAAAAACTGAATGATCCAAATGTGTAATAAGATACCATTCTATGCAAAAAAATCTATCAATTATAAACAATTAAGTGTAGATAAAAAAGGAAAATGTATGAAAGATTCATCTCACACTAATGTTGAAACATTCTACTTGAAATATTTGATGTAATCTGGATTGCATCATCTATTTTTCTTTGTAAAACATGTTCATACAATAATGTTCACAACATTCCATACGTGGAGAGAGTGATATCATTATACAAAGTATTCCTAAGTTGTTTGTATAAACATAAGAGTAATATGTAGAAGAGCATTCAAGGCCATTATACTTAGTTTGGTATGCGTTTATTATCTAGCTAACTTATGTTATCATTCACATATAATTTTGCATTAACTACCTCAAAATTTACGATGTTATTGATTATTAATCTGCTTTACCTTATAGCTACTAGTATCTTCTTTACGAAATTACAGTATCCGCACTTTCTCCATAAAATTAGGTTCAGATATCTATACATAATTTGAAAAGTAGAATAAACATAACGGTGGTACTCTCCATACTGCACATCTATACTTGAAGACGTCCGGTAGTGCTCCACTGAACAACAACATGTGGGAGGGCAACATCGATTCGCTTAGTTGCACAAACTTTTACAAACGGCCGTACTGCCAAGTGTAAGGGATCCTAGTTTCTTTCTCCTCTTTCTTTCTTTCTTCAGGCTCCCTTCGGGCTGCCCCGAGTCAGCCGGATTTTATCAGTTTTGGGAACGGGGAGGCGGGGCACTTTGCGGGGAGGGTCGGCGGACCCTACATTCCGGCAACCATGTAGAGGCCCTCAACCGGATGAAATTCCAACAACCATGTAGAAGAGAGGCCGTCACTATAGAGTCTACAACATTGTATCTATTGCGTTGCAATGATCTACGCCGTAACAATGATCGCGGTCGTGTCCTGGAACGTTGCGGAAACTAAAAACTAAAATTGAACCGCAAGAGTGATAGCTCAGATGGAATCCCTAGTGTTCAAACTGTAATATTTGTAATCAAACGGTAATAACATATTGAGGCGACAAAATTTTAAGCGACAAAGATTAGGGTTTTTGAAAATAGTATCACATTGATATTCTCCAGCTCGTCGTTTCGACGTCGCTTTTGGGTGCCAGTGTCATTGCTTTGAGGAGCTCGTGTCAGAGCTCGTGCTTGTACGTTTCTTGTCATTTCAGGTGCTTTTTGCAAGTGTGGTGACAGCATGGAGGCAGGATGGATTGTGCAGGACCCACCTTATGATGGCACTTTCAATTCGTTAATGTTGAATTGGTCAAATGGGACGGCCTACATCAAAAGCTCGAGGCTTAACGATTTTGTTTCGAGAGAGGGATCTTGTTATAGTGATGCGAAGACAGAATTTGTGACACGTTGCTCATACAAGGGTGGAGGTACTAGGCACAATTGGGAATCGTATGCAATGTATTATTGCAAGTATGGTACTCCAGAAAGGGGCAAGAAGAGTATGCTTTCCTCAAATTTTATTCAAGATCCATCAACAAAGGCAAAATTTGGTCCTGGCAGCAGGGATAGACTAGATCATGATTCTCATCACAAGGGCTGTCAGTGCAGGTTTAGTGCCATTAAACTGTTGTCTAATGATCACATTCCACCAGGAATCACGAAGTTGATATACAAGCATAGAAGACACGTAAATGATGCAGGTGTAGCTTGTCATGGCACAGCGTGTTCGCATAGTGTTGGCTTGCCATCTCAAATGGCGCACAATTTATCCTCTGAATGCAGGTAACCGCATATTTGTTACATTTTCAATGTATTTGTTTATCGTTCACAGTCAATCTCCCGTCATATTTGTAATATTTACAACAAGTTTGTTGTTATTACAGTTTGTAAAACTTTGACACTAAGCAAGCACGTTTTCTAATATTTTCTACGTTCTTTCGCCACGGAGTGGGTTGAATGCGAGTTAAGAAGAGGTTTAATTCCTCCACAAATTCTCATGCGTGCTGCAAAAGCACTGTTTGAAAATCATCAACGCTTAGGCTATGTGCAAGGGAGCCCTATTAAAGATCATTATATCACATCTGCTGATGTTTATAATATCAAATTGGAACTGGAAAAAGAAACTTGGAGAAGGCATGCTAATGATAGAATTAGCACAGAATTATGGATGAAAGCGAATTCATCTCAAGTTGTTTTGTATCAGGCACCTATAAGTGATCCATTTAAACCATTGAGGCTTGCTGTTACAAGACCCTTGCTCCTAGATTGGTTGCTAAAACATGGAAATGAAGGTTGTGTTGCTATAGATGGAACGCATGGCACGCAGAAGTATAAGGTAATATTCTACTTGTCCATTTTGATGTTTTTATCATCAGTCTTCCATGATTATGTATATTCTACCTTACTATTTGCAATCTCTGCAAGATACTTGAAAAAATGACGGTTTAGAGCTTTAATCAGTCCTGTAAGACATTATTGAACGTCTCAATGTGTGCTGTATATGTTGTTTTATATACCTTGATCATGTCTAACTTATCAAGACATAAAAATAGCAAATCATTCATTTGTGTCAGGTTTAACTTAGTATCAATGAAGATGAATACTTTGTAGACGATTGCTAGCAGCAAACAGATACGTTTATTTCATTTTTTGCAATGCAGTATCCACTATACACCCTGATGGTGTTTGATGAGTATGAACACGGACATACAGTTCATGCGACATTAAAATGACAGTTTGAAGTACCTTCTATAAGGTTGAAGGTGTCATGGCGAATGTTTCAATTAGAATCTTGTAATAGAAGGTATCTTGTAAATTGGAGACGAGAAAAGTATGCATGCGAGTGCTTTTGGTCACTCCAAGGCAATTTTTGCAAACATCACGTACTACTCACATTGTAATTCTGTCTTTGATTGCATATATTGGTTGCATCTGTATTTTTTATTAACACTGCTTGATTCATGAGTGTCTAAATTCTTATTCTACAAAGGAAAGGATATTCTGAGACCAACATCCGCATTTGTTTGGGCATACGCTTTGGTGGAATCCGAGGTGGAATCAAAGAGCTCTTTGATAAAGATCCTTCATCACATACATATGATTTAAATGAGGATCCAATCCTTTGAAAAGAACTTGCAGATATTGAAGTCAAAGATGATCGCCATGACACCTTCAACCTTATAGAAGGTACTTCAAACTGTCATTTTAATGTGCAATAACTGCAGATATTTTGCAGAAATGACAGTTTGAGTGATGAAACTACCTAACCGTACATGTTCTCTGTGTTATCAGATACAGATAGCCCTGTAAAGAAAGCATCAAAGCCAACAGATTTTGAGGAGGAAGAAAAAACCAAGCGTGTTCTTCATACTCAATTGGTATGGCTCAAGGACTTTTTGGATGAAAATCCTAGTATGCTGAAAGTGGAAGAGCTAAAGCTCCGACATTGCATTGGACGTATCAAGGAGTCTCACCAAGCATGGAGTACTGGTAGAATACTTCCTGTTGCAGACATGTGGCGTACATCCATGCTAGATAAGCCTAGCTCATCATTTAGGAAATTGAGTTGGCTTGAAAAATTAGTAGGCATTAAATGTCCTAAGCCACAGAGATTACTTGAAACAGGAGGAAGATTTAGAGCCCCAACCACAGATTAAGGAAAGGTAGAAGAAGTAGCTTTGCAGCTCAGACTTCGAAAGGGCAGGCAGAAGGCAAAAAAAACTCGAAATCTGATCAAGCAATTCCTTCAAGCAAGTGCAAATAGAGAATAACACAAACAAGAACAAGCTAGAATTCTAGGAGAGACGATCGACTTGACTCTTTCTCCCTAAGTTGTTTGCTTGTGATGCATGAATGTAGTTTCAATTTCATAGTGAAATGAAACCATTTTGTCCAATTCCACATTCAGCAGATTTGCATGCGCTGATTACAGTTTGGAAATTTACCATGAACTCACATTACACTAATGATTTGTTTAGTGATAACAGTCAATGTTGCTGAGATGACGTTTCAAAATTAAGAACCTTGATTCTGCGTATTTTGATATTATTGATATTCAACTTTTGATATATTAATGAATGTATCTAAGTGCTAATCAAGTTATATTAAAAGTGTGCTAGAAGACACGTCTCTATGTAAGGTCTTTCTTGTTGGAGCTTGTTGGATTGCAAGAAGACACGCCATCAGCTTGGATGTGACAGCTTGATATTCTTTAGTCAAAAGTCTTTGGAATTCCAGGAGCTGGAGGCACTGAAATGTGCAGGGATGAGAAGTAACTTACAGCACTAGTTAGATCTTGCAAGACTTGAGCTTAGAATGTGTGATCTTGCTCGAATATTGACCCTCAGAACTTTACTCGTTCATTGCATATAGATTTACTTAAATAATGGGAAAAAAACACCTGTTTGAAGTTGAGGAATTAATCATATCCATAATTTGACATGCACTTGACCTCTAGATTCAATGACTGACCATAGAATTTTTGGGTACACTTGTCATGATGAGGTTCAGAGCATTGCACGTAAGTAGCGATGACATTTATTCATTGCATCTTTCAAAAAATACAAATATTTTTTTAAAAAAAGTCACGTACACAGTAAAATTCCACATGTTGTATTGCCAATATGTTGAGGTTGGAGATAAATTCATTCAATACTTGTCATGGTTGTATCTGTTACGATCTTAAAACTTTAATGTTCATTATTAGACTGTATTGTGTATATTCATCTCATATGCTTCAATTCCGGCAAAAGTAAGTAAAACATTTTGTAAAGACAAAGATAGGTATGGAATCACAATTGATGATATTTGAGATGATAAAGAAGTTGTTAATATTTTGCCAATGGGACCTATTTTGACAAGTAGGATATAATATCCTAGAAATAATATCCTATTTTGACAATAGAAATAATATCCTATTTTGACAATAGGATATTATTTCAAAACTACCATATCTGTAATGCTAGGACTGAAATCTTAGATTTGACTATGAAACCCATGAAGCTAATATAAACCCATGAATTTGAATCCATGACTCTTTTTTTTTAGGTTTTAGATGGGAGAAATGTGGATTAGCCTCTCGAGCGACGAGTAGCATGTCGAGCGTCAATGTTCTATAGCCTGATGATTAGCCTGTCGAGCGCCTGCAAGGCGCAAGTTGCATAAGGTTTGGTCACCTCTCAGCTCTTCCTCTCCGTCGCCTTCAGTTGCTCATGTTGTGTTGTACAAATGGAACCCTCTCACACCATCCACAGGAGGTATTTCAATTGCCATGCTGACATGTTAAGGTTTTTCTTAGTTTTTAAACTTTGCACCTTCCGCATTATCCGTTGTGACATAATCTCCATGGGATGAATTAGGGGCTTCCATGTTTTGTAACCGGACAGCGTACCGCTGTGCAGGGAATCAAGTTGGCAGTGTGCTCAACAGCAACGAAGAGCTCGTTCGTGTTCTGTCTGACCAATCTTTTGGGAAAGGTAAGGAACCTTCGCTCTCACAAGCTAGCTGCTGACAAGCCTTGGATTCTAATTCTTTGTTGTGCTGAATATTTTTTTACAAAAATGTATCCACGTCTTCAACTGATGTGTTGACATTGCAAGTTTGAAGGATTTTTCGCGCTTCGAGTAGAAAATTAGACAAGTTGGCAAAAACACTAACGAACACTACCTATCTCCTGGTGTTGACTGTCATTTTGTGGATGTCAAGAGCGATTCGAACAACTTGATTGCTTCCTTGCAGGTTCCTATCAGGTCCCTTACCTTTCATTTATTGCTGCGATTACTATTCTCGTTTCCGCGGTGTCACAAATCTACGACTTGATGTCGGTGAATTTAATTGCCAAACATTGAACATTTTTTATCTCCTTACACTGCACGTTTTACACAGGCGACGACGTGAAAAACAAGAAGCCAGATCCGTCCATCTACAAAGTTGCTGCTGAGGTAAGTTGAACTCAGCTCAATCAACGCTGCACACAAACCCATTCCTTGACGAACTAGCAATTCTCTCCATGAGCAAGTCTTACGTATTACATCAATTCCTAATAGTCGGAATGCCTTCTTCTCCTCCTCCTCAATGTGAAATCTTATATCTTGCAGAAACTAGGGGCTAATCCGGAAAGATGCTTGGTGGTAGAAGACAGTGTTATCGGACTACATGTGAGCTTAAATTCTACGTTCTCCATTTAGGATTTCCAGCTTTATTAAGCAGATATGTGCTTCTGATTAAATTGCAAATGCTTCAGGTTCTTGTCAGTGCAGTACATACACAAGCATGTTTGATCTGGCTTTGTGTAGATTCTATTAAGTTCATGTATCTGTGAACTCTCCAAATTCAATAGTTTATCCTTTTTACAACATTCATGACTACAGTGCACTCGGAGCTGGCATGACTTGCGTGATCTCCTACACATCTTCCACTTCTAAACAGGTATTAAGAAGAAATTCCAGATTTGAACCACCGCCGTGAATTCGACACATCTTCTCAATTCTGCCTTCATGGTTTTTGGTCCCCACAGTTGATGATCGTGGCAAGGACACCAGTTGTGGTCAGCAAGAGAATTATGTCCTCATGCTCTCTAACCTCATGAATTGTCCCCTTCTGCAGGATTTCGCCGGTGCGTCGGCGTCTTACCAAAATCTCGGAGGAGTCAGGTAGGAGAAGTTTTTTTAAAACAACAGTATGGCGTTATAATAACGAACCACGACGCAAGTTTTAATGTTCCGCACGTTGTTTTGATCTAGATGCTTAATGTGGTTTGTTTCTGTGGACATTCTAAATGAGGTTGAGTAGTCTCTTGCTAAAGTGGGTGTTTGTTCGTTATGGACGATGTGCAACATTACTGAGTTGATCAAAGTCGTGGATTCAACTCCGGCTGTACTGTAAGGTATTTCATCAGTTCTTACAAGCCATCCCCAAGCAGCTCCGTGTAAAACTAGTTCAACTTTTGTACTAAAAGAAAATCATTGAATCACAAAAGAGAAGAACACAAAGACATAACTGAAGATGATGGCACTTCAGCCTAGATAGATACTCGCTCGTAGGATGCTGAACAAATCTCATGAACAAGTCGGTGAATCAATCAAAGTATCCAGGTGCAAGAACAATTTTCATGCAGAGTACTGCCTCGCTTCTTCGAACTCCAGACTTTGCTCGTTGTCTTCTTTTAGGATTCATTCAAGAGGGAAGATTTCAGGTGCTTGTAAACGTAACAAAGAATATCTACACCCAACTGTTCCATTACCAATCCAATTATTTATTCAATGTCGTCTACTCTTATCTTGTCAACTCCAGATGTTTATTTCACTTGCAAATGATGTTTATGTGATAAAATGTTTATTTCTGGCACAGTATAGGAGTTTGTGTTGAGCCTTTAACTTCAAATTCTTTGTTCAGTACTGGCTAGGAACTTTTATAGATAGTGGTTTTTTTGCCACTTGGATGAGCGATCACACGCGACTTGTTCAGTAGATTTTCTCGGTTTCCAGCTACGTGTCTAACAGATTAGTCACACATAAGTTGGAATGAAGGAAGATTTGTTCTCTTTGAGAACCCATGTTAGCTCAGCTACAAGCAGGATGAATTACCTCATTTCAGCTGACCATAGTTTTTAGCATAGACCTGCGCACAGACAGCTTTATAACTGTGTGATAGTAATTGTAGAGAAGAGACCACCAAACACAGAAAAAACTCAGAAGGAGAGGAGGTTCTTGCAGCTGTCTAACAGTGAATCCTAGATGAAGTAGACATCTCATTACCTTCATTTACTCCATGAAGGTGGTCTAAACACAAAATTCTCACTAGCATCATCTTTTTAAGATTCACTTTCTCATTTCAATTGTTTGTTAATATTCACACTAAATTACATTTTGTCGCTGTATCTTTTATGACTAACGCTCAATGAGACAATTGGGCAACTTATGCAGATTTCACCTTTTCAAGGAGAATAAGAATACTCAGGATGCCTTGATGATTATTGGCCGCATGCTTGAAGTGAAAGTGAGTCAATTAATTCCATAAATACACATTTTGGCTCTGTACTATCTGAGATACAAGCTTAAGGAGCCGCATTTCCTGAGAAATGTGATTGCTCTTCAGTTTTGTTGGACAGCTTTAGGCTTTGAAGATGACAATGAATTTTGTTTTCGCAATGTGTTGCAGCCCAAATCGTAATCCTTCGCAGGTACCAAAGACAAAACGAGCCGTCACTACGCAACAGGTATCTGGAGCCCTTTTTCTGAACTATTCAGCAGAATTAATTGTTTTCATTTTTGAGGTTCATGCGTTCGTGTAAGGTGAACGGGTTTATTATGCATACACAAACAGGAATGGAACTGGGGCTTTCTTTGCCTCCTATGAATGAAAACTTCTCAGTCTTCAAATTACTGCTCTCTTCGTACTCGTTATGTACATTGGAGACTCAAGGCGTTTTATTCAGAATTCCAAGTACAGAATTAGATTGCACGTTTCTTTTATACTGAAACTCTTGTGTTTTCAGGTAACTATTTACAAGCAACCAGCAGCGAAATTGGCTCTACTTAACAAGAAGCTTATGGGAGTAAAAGTTGGTAACTTCAGATGATTTCCCTACTCGCTTCAATCTTACTCTCAGTATAGCAGTTGGACTTTGGACTCTACATGTGAACCCTTTTCATTTTCTTAGAAAGTCTTTTGTGTCATTTCCTTTGTGTCCATTGTTGTCGATAGTATTCACTGTTTCCTTGAGGCTTCAAAATCAAAATCATACAAGGAATATCGTGATTGAAAGTCTTTGTAATGACAGACAAATACCAAAATGGAGCATAATGGTGTAGATCCGATCCCACGAGGACAGAAACAAACACAAAAGTCACGATTTGTCACAAGATAGCATTCTATTGCGAAGTTTTACTTCTTAGGCCAATGCTACTCCCAGAACACACTACACAGCTAGAGCCGAAGACTCACAGGGTAGTGCAAAATCGTACTCACAACCTGAACCTTTTACAAACACAACCTGCAAGAATCGCAAGCGATCTCACACTTATATTTCAGGGGAAAAACTTCCCAGCACTGCATACATCTCAACACACTGACCAGAATACTCAGACCCGAACTTGCTTATATCTCGCGGTAACCCAGGCTACCCAAGACATCTAGGCCAAATATTCACAACTCCTTAATGCGGTAACTTCGACAAACAGGAGCGCGCCGTGCTCAATGTCTGGATCACACACCAGGACGAGGGCACACAGCAAAGACAGAATGACGATTGAGACAAGCCAATTGATAGAAAAGCCCCCCAAGGAAAGAGCCTTGGGCCTCTTTATTCACAATGGCAACTCTGGGATATCAACCGTCTGAGGCGAATCGGCCTCAAGGGTTGAGCCGTTCGATGTAACGGTTACAGCATCGTCTGAACTACTCTCTACTCCTAATCTACGCAACACGTTTACAATCTCAACTTCTACATTCTTGCGTCTCATTCAATTCCTCTGAAAATGAATTAACTAACTCTACAATCTGTTTGTGTCCTACGGATCCGCTGGACTTCGCGCTCATCAGCCGTCGCTCGAGCAGATCCTGTTTCAACCACTTCACCGAATCCAATCCCCACATCGCGAACACGTTCAAGCACTTCTCTAACCGCAATCTCAACACGTCGGTTGAATCCTCCCTCAGCTGACGATAGGCATCCTCTGCCTTTTGCATTCTCCTCTGCGACTCTTTCGATCTCATCTCCGACTTCCCTAACTGCTCCCGTAACCGTCGACAGTCAGATTCAACCTTTAATCTACATTCGACCTCCGAAGACTTGACCGACTCGTACTTTGCCAATTTCTTGGCCCAATCCTTCAACTCGTCTTCATGCTTCTGATTTCCCGCCGATAGACTTGCTGACAGCTCCTCCGCACGTCGGAATTCTGTTTCGTACTTCGCGTCAATCTCCGAGATTTGCCTACGAAGATCTTCCTCCGCCGTCTTGACTACTGCATCGTAAGCTTCCCTTGATTTCTCCAATCTCGCCATCAAATCCACTGTTACCTTCTAGGCATTCTCATTAGAAGTACGAAGTCCTCCACAAGTTTCTTCCAACTCTGCACAACGTCCTAATTCCTTCTCTAGATTCAGCTGCAGCACTTCACACTTAGTTTCCTTCTCCCGAAGTTGGGCTTCTCGCTCCTGCAATGTTGCCTTCACTGCCGCGCACTCGGTTGACAAGGTTGCAGCTCGCTCCCGTGCCAATGCAGTCGCGGAATCCCACTCTCTCTTTGCTGCAACTGCTCTTTTGAGCTTCATTCTGTTCCTGATCATCTCAATATAGAATCCTGGCTCCTTCGATACAGCATACCTTCTCTTCCCTTCCAAGTACTTCAACAATGGTACTACACTATCCTGCAAGAATTCAGGAAATGTAACTTCCAATGTCTTCACTTCTCCCGAAGTCTTCTTTCCTTCTTCGAGTCTCACCTCTTTCACAGGAGACGTCGGCAGTGTAATGCTCTCAGCTTCCACCACCGTCCCTCCTACCCTTGCGACAACATGTTCCAGAATCTCCTCACTCAAAGTAAATTCCTTCTCCAGGTACTCGTTCATCTTCATCTGGGGTGTTCCTTCGCCTTGCTCAGACCGTGTCCGCACTGAAGACAGAGAAATCGGACTTACCAATTCCGTTTCCTCGTCCAAAGGTTCTACCGGTATATCTGCCGGATCTTCGATTGACACCTCCGAAGGTACCCCTAACTCCACAGATCGCATTACCTCGCTAATTGCGACTTCGGATGTGTTCACAATTGGTGCCACCGTCTTCTCCACACTGCTATCTGACACCTCAACTGTCACCATCCTCCGTTTCGCCCTCTCAATTCCGTCTCAATTCCTCATACGGCACCTTCAAGGGAACCAATTTCCTCACCTTCTCACTCTTCTTGGGCGCCATGTATTCAATTTGCGTTTCGCTAATCGCGGGTTGGCTCGATTGCAATTCCTCTCGCTCTCGATCGTTCTTGCTCGATATCGCAATGTCGGCGCGCAGTCTCCTCCTACTGCCTTTACTCTTGAAGCCCTAACATTGCCTTCTCCTGCGCCTCGTAGAACTCCTGACGCGTGCGAACTTCGTCCGGCCCGTTGCATGATTTGAAATTGATTCCGATGTCTTCACCGAAGACGCAGCTCTTCGTGCGTCTTAAAAGACTGTGCCGAAGACGCGAAGATTCGAAGATCTTTGGACGTAGACGAATTCTAACTAATCCTATCAGAACACCTATAAATCTATTCTTTCCAACTCATATAGCTATCTTCTACACACATATGTTTATGTTTTTGTTAATTTTTAAAGAAAAACAAAAAAGTAGGTCCCACAGTCTTACGTTTGTCTCTCATAGTTAACTACTTTTTTTATATTCCTCTAAGATATCTTTGTGTTGTCTTGGTTTATTCGTATTGGTTTATTGAACCTCGACAGAAGACTTTTGACTCGTCTGCTGACGGCATGCCAAATGCTCCAGTTGGTACTGGGCTTAAAACTGTGAAACCTTGACTTCTTGTTGCGAGCCAACGGTGTAGTGGCGATCATGGCGGAAGTTTTTCCATTGGGGGCGAAATGAAAGAGGTGATATTGGATAGGCACTATGCGAAGGTGCCACACGTCACCAAGGGCGGTAGGCATAACTGGAAATGCCTACTGCAAGGTTGTCCTTTCCTAGGAACATTTTCCCAAAAAAATTATATCGAAAAGCATTGGAGGAAAGACCATGTGGACTGTCATCTCTAAATTACCCAGAAGCTTCCACTTGGATCAAAGACGACTGGAGTTTCTAGGAAGGCTAACAAGAAAGAGTTGATTGACTCTTGTGACAAGCATTTTGGTAATTTTTGTCAGCGTTGGATCAAGCACAAGCAAGATAAGTTGGACTTCTTTCGAGGCGAGGTATGCAATTCTTCCGTGGCAAGTTTTTTTTTCTATTTGCATTGTTTATTTCAAATTGAATTCAAGTAGACTTTCACAAAATTTTGATTTATTATGTTCAGATTGCAATAACCGTATATATGTTGCAGAAATGACAGTTTGAGTTGTGTGTCTAGATTATTAAGGTGTATTTCGACCAAAAGATATATTCTCTAATGACGGAAGAGGATATAGGAGAATTGGAGGAACCTCCGGTGATTTTGAGGGCTATGAGACTCGTATGCAAGAATTTCCTTCCAGGCTGAAAAATGTTGAGAATTCCAGAGTTTACAAATTTTGTCTTTGATCATCTTGACGAACTACTTGATCCCTATAAGAGAAAGACATAGTTCGTAGATTCTATTCAAGAGTGGGTGAAGGGAGAGCAGGCCAAAAACAGAAGGAGTAGTCAACGGCGAGGTTTGAAGAAGTCGGAGATTGACATTGACGAAGTTGAAGCCATGGAAGATCTCGTGGCAATCTTGAGTGCAGATGACAGTTGCAGCGATTTGAAAGCTGAGGCAAAAGAATGGATAGTATTTTGTGGTAAGTACAGTTGGATTGAACAATCCAACTGGAATCCATCTTTGGAATGTAATGAACGAATAATCTTGAAATTTTTGGATTATCTTTATAGTCCAACGGGCAGGAAAGCTAAACTTGATCTTGGAAAAACCGTTCTGAGAGGTCGAATGAAGCGCATGGCAATACTGGGTGTCATCGAAGATGAAGAGACAGCTCGGACAAAGGTTAGACATTCTTACTCCTGACGTAAAGATTTTCCAATTTGTAATGTTTATGTTACAATTACAGATATTGCAGTTTGGATATGATCTAAGAGTATTGTGCTTGTTATTTTTCAGGGTGAGATTTCAAAGTCAGCTCTTGATGAATCAGAGATGTATGATTCCGTAGAGCCCATACAGCCATTTTTTATGTCTGTACATATATCACAGGAAGTTGAAAAGTGAAGAGCGAAGGTTGAAGTCAAGAGGATGGATGCAAAAAAACAAAATCTTCTATTGGAGTGGAGAGCGAAGTATACGGCAGACAAACTTAATACGACAGACGCCTCATATAAGATCCGTGTCAGCACACTTGAAAACAAAGGGTCGGTAAAATGGGCTGTTGCTGCCAACAGCCCATTTTAACGTGCAACGCAAGTGGTGGAATAAAGTTGAACTGTTTGCAACAGCGATGTCTCTTGTTAGAATCTTAGCAAAGGACCAGAACGTGATCACGGCGGGAAACGTGCAAGTAAGATGATTCCCAAGCATTTTCTTTGAGCTTTAATTTTAACTGAAATATGTTGTATCAAAATGATAATATCTGCGATTGGGTTGCTGTTATTACAGATAGGAGAACTCGTTCTTCAGATGGTAACATGGATGTAGGCGCCAAGAGAAAGCCACCTGGTGAGAGAACACAACGTGCTAACATATGGCGATGAATTGAAAGTCGTACGTGGACTTTGATACTCATTAGTTTCACTTACAAAAGTCTTAAATGGCAATTTTCAGACCTGTTTTTTTTTCCCACTCTATCTAGATAGGCTCCAATGTGGCTCGAAAGAAGTGGTAGCTGGTTTGCACTTGTACATTTCAGCTTTTTGGCCCTGGGGCAAAGTATCCATGTTATATGCTGAAGTCTTGCTGCTGTGATTTCTGGTTCTAGTTGGCAGTTCAAGTACAGCACCATTAAACTTGAGACTGGCTT